TTATGCCCACTGCCCACAAAATGGTGCAGTCAACGACAATGAGTTTTTTCTTAAATGTCCTTTATGACGAATTATACTGACTCAACTGATGTAAACATCCTAAATGGCACAATTAAGCAAGTTTGGTAATTCTGGAACGCTAGAAGTTGATTTAGCTGAGATCACTAAATCATATTGCATTCCTTGCCAGGGCATATTTACGACTTACGTCACTTCATTAATAGGGGAAACAATTTGGGTAAAATGATTGAATCAGGGGAACAGATGTATGATCGGATGACCGTCGGGGTGACAGGATGGAGACTTCCACCTCGGGAGATGCGCTTCAAATCAGCAAACTCCTCAAATTAGAATTCCTCGAACACAAAGCGATTTCCCCAGAGTTGTTGTGATTTGTCCGTCTCTCATTCCACTATTGCTTCATCATCACTCAAATATTCATTCAGCATTTAAAACGTAGATCACACCGGTATGGGTACGATGTAGGGATGTTCAAAAATAGATTCTCTCTCTCTTGCTGGAAGGATAAAATTTGATTTTAGCAGTAGATTTTTTCCATTACAGTTCTGATGGAATTTTCGACTTTTAGCTATATAGCTAGATGGATTCAGCCGCTGTCTGGAGGAGAATTCTAGCGGCCGGCTGCTCAGATCGGTAGTTTTCCGTGGTCTCCTTCATGAATGCAGGAGCAGTACCCTATCAAACGCCACAGACCATGGACAGCGCGCGATATTTCCTTGTTCCCACCTCCCCTCCAACTCACACACACGCTTATATTTACTTTCACTGTACTATCACACATGGCGGAAGATCAATCGGGCGCTGTTGTTGAATATTCTGTTTGATGTAGAATTTAGTAATATAAGTAGAATATTTAATTGCTGCATTTCGTTGAAAATAGTTTATAACACTTTTATTCATATAAGCATAAAATGTAAATTAATTTACGAGATTGTGTAATCACGAGATTTCTAATACTTTGAACACCAAGAATGCATTTTCACTGATGGCTCCTCTCCAGAAATCAGACATCTATGTACGGGTCGGATTGCACTGATTATAACAGCACTGACAATTTCGCCCCTGGTCTGTGATAAAGGGGGGTGGTAATTGGAGACACTACGAGTCTGGCCGATGCCCTCGAAATGTTATCCCGTTTCAGATTGGTTGTGCCGTTTTTCTCCAAAACAAATGCAACGTTGAATATGCTGCATCCAATTATGCATTGCGGCAGTACTACTGCACGTATGCAAAAAACATTGTGTAAATTTGTAAGTTTTTACCGATATTTACTATTCAAATTGTATTTATATTAGTAACGTGAGGTTCAATGCAAACTTGTGCTGCAACGTTTTCTTGTTAGAAAGCGATTAAGATAAATAATTCGCTAATAATTCAGAGGGAAAATCGAAGTGGTAGAAAATATTAACAGATCTGGATATATGCGTTTCTGCGGTACGTAAGATTTGTGTGAGCTAATTGTAAGTTCCATAAAACTGATTGTATTTACTAGGTGTTACTGGCAGTATGTTGTCAATTGTTTATTATTATTCTAAGCACCATCATCTTTTCTGTTACATTTGCTGGACCGCAACCCTCGCTTGGTCGAACAATAGGTCAAGTTTAATGATGCTCATCTCCCAACAACTATCTTACTTTATGATAGGTGTCCAATATTGCGAAATTCTGCATTTTTTAAAAATATTTTTCATAATTCCAGGGTTTCTGGGTGTTTCTTTGTGTTTCGGGGAATGATTCTTTTCTCCGAAATGATGATAGGTATAATATAAACCTTTTTTGAATTTCCAGTTCTTTTATTTAGTCAGCAGAGTTTACTTTACCAATTTTGTAGTTATAACTAATGTCGATATTATGAGAGAGAAGAATGGCTATGTCGATAAGATATACTTCTTCCTTCTTCTTGTCAAGCTTGTTATCAGGTGTATTGACTGGTATGTATAGATAGATAATTTATGTATTTAATTTGCTTTGGGCATTATGCCTGGTAGAAAATTTTACACACTTATTCATCTACTATAATAATTCAGTACAATAAATTCGCACTCAATACATACACCACTACAATTTTATTCCATTTTACACATACTTACTACATTCAAAAGCCCTTCACTGACTATTGATCGTATCGCTTACACCTCTATTACTAGAATCAAATCTTATCCTAAAAGTCTTTACGTTTGCAGGAAAAGTCTCCATTTGTACTATAGGCAAGCTATTACATGATTCGATTAGGGATCATAACCAAACTCTGTAGCTGATTTGCCTGTGTAAATAGTTTTTATTTCACGGAAGCGAATATTTTCTTATCATTTCTCACCAAAAACACTCGTTTCAGCCTTTATTCATTAAGCAAGGTGAAATGGTGCGCAGAATACACTTCTTCCAATTGTAGGCCAAACAGTTCTCAACAGCTTTTGACAATAATAAACAAAAATAAAAAAAGAGCCAGAGACTAGTTGCTTTCTGGTCTATATTATCTTTGTCTAATTGATTCAGAAATGTGAAACAATTTTGGTGTGATGACTGAAAATCCAAATACTTGATTGTATTATTCTGTCTATCCCCTCTCCATGCACTTACGGACAGAATTCCCATATTGTGCATCACTGCTTGCGACTCCGGTGGGCTAGCGAATCGCACTGCGCGTATTCGAGCGCGGCTGATGTGTGGAAAATTCCACATGTCATACATTTGGCCTGTAAAAGAACCGAGGCAGATTCTCGGCCAAATTTAAGTCCTGCGACAATGATCCGTCCTAACGAGATCTCAAACTTCTTCCCAGAGTGATCGGAAATTGATAACTGAGACCGACATCTGGCGGAGAGTGTGAGAATCACATCCAGGTGTATTAGGGGACGCTCATTGAAGGGGTATCTACTGGAAAAAAGAGATCCCGAACCCGCGCCAGTTAGTCAGCGCTTTAGCTTCGGTCGAAAGTAAGGGCGAGTATCTAAAGCCACTGGCCGAATCCCCGCAAATCCGTTGTTGTCATGCGGCAGGAATGCTCCAATGAAAATCCGTTCGCTATTGAATATCTGTTGTTTATGTATTGCATGGAAAAGCATCATTTGTAATATATTGCGTATTTAAAGAACTTTTGCTGTATGTACGAGTAATACTATACCATGTTATTGCAGTATTGGCAAAGAATTAAAATATTTAATTTATGGCAGGATTTTATAATAGTGTTTGTTGCTCTTGAGCAGTGTGAGCGTTACTTTTTGAGAAACCATTTTGTCTGGTGGTGTTCAGCAGGATTTTGCTGCTGCAAGTCTCTACTTTATATTCCTAATTACCATTGCGTGCAAAAATTGAAAGAAAACTCTGTAGTATTGCGCCATGTGAGAAGTGTGTACGGTTTCTTTAGATATCGAGGAAAGAGAGAAAATGCAGAAACATCTATATGACTAATTTCCAATGCGCGCAGAAATTGAAGAAAGTACAATGCACCCACAGTCTCCGGCCAGGAGGTGAGGGAGGTCTATAGTTCCTTTATATTTTTATGGGCTCATTTTTTGGAAACCTAGTCCGCTCTGGAGTATTTCAGAGAAATTTAATTTACTGAAAATACATAGTTTAAATAGTTTTAAAATTTCCCTATATTTCACGTAAAATTACTCATATTTCCGAAAAATTTTGCATGACCTTATTTCAAGATGTGTCTTTGGCCAGCATATTTTATTCTGAAAATTAACCTGTTTCTTCAATATTGTAGGAATACGTAAACAATTGAGGCCCCTGCCTCCGAGGGCTCCTCTGTCCCGCCTCGTCGGATTTCGCGATAATCATATCGACACTAACGATTTGAGTGCCAGCGATCGGTCAACGTCCAATTCGCAAAATTGATGCGATATTTTTTCATTGGGCAAGTGTACATTTTTGCAATGTGTATATCTTTGAAATAGAAATTATTTGTGGTACGTAAAAGAACCTGGAGAGGTCCCTGTAAAACTTTAATCCCTCCTGTAATATCACGTTCAAACTCTATCTCACGTTCTCCCAACCAGACAGTTCAGATATAGTTAACCGAGGTCGACATCTGACGGAGAAAGTGAGAATCACATCCAGGTGTATCAGGGGACGCCCAGAAGGCGTGCATACTTCACAGGACGCTCAGGTCGGAAATACGGGTGCGTAACTCCTGCTCGCCTTAGGCCATACTGCGGAGGAGGTGCGCGGTGTCAGGCCCCGCAGCGATGGCAACGCCGGCTGTCGGCGGTGGGCGCCTTAGGGTGCTGCTCCCCCTGGGAGGGAACTGTCGAGCGGAGCCCATGCTGTAGATTTCTTGCTCGCCACACTCTTTACTCTCAGGACATAAGGCATCAATTCAATTTGTTTCACTTTTTAATTTAATAGCAACAGTTAGATACCTTACATACAATTTCCTCGAGTACACAAAATTGTCTTCTAAAACTTGGTATTCTAACTCCCTACCTCCCGGCAAAAGGGCAGGGAGGCATTTTTTCTGCCTATTTCTTTTTTATGATTAATTGATTATATAGCGTTTCAACTGCGCGTTAACAACTACTGACATCAGTCCCATAAGTGTAGTGGATGTTATGTCTAGGGACGTGGCAGTGTTTCTCAACCGCTAGAACAATGAAATTCGATGGAGAGCGACACGTCGGCAGCGGAACCTCGTCCCTCATGAAACCGCTTCTGTACACTTCTTCGTTCCAGCAAAAGGCTACGTTCTCCATTTTCTGCGTCTCTTGCGCCTTTCTACCTTAAGTTGTTGTGTATTTTCATTTTCATTCAATGAAAATATGAAGTGTGGAATTTCATATTTGGAAAAACTTGTGGTCGGAGACCTTTATCGACCGTAACTGTTACTACGTATCATATTAAGCGAGTCTCTAGTTAATAAGATAATGAGAAATAAACAAGGGAGTTAACGATGGTGTAAGCCACGTCTGCTCCCTACAGTAAAGTTAACTTAGAAAGCAATATTAACATTTTGTTTGTTTTCTGTGATTCAGATTAACACAATATTGGATACTCTAGGACTGGCTGAATCTGAAAATACTCGAGCTGTTTTACTCTCTGGAGGCCAACGTAAAAGATTGGCCATCGCACTGGAGCTGATTAACAACCCTCCTGTCATGTTCTTTGACGAGCCTACAAGGTGAGAACGATGCTGCCATTGCCCGCAACTCACGTGTGCCACAGAAGGTAAACTGCAGCTGACCAGCGGCGTTGTGTGCGTGATGGCATTGCAGAGTATAAATATCTACGAAATATGAAAACTTGCTATAGAATGCATTGGACTAATCAAATATATTTTTTCTGCTCTTCTGCGTATTCTGTTCATAGAAAAATAACATGATTTTGAAAAGGAGAAAGAAAAGTATCATTTAACAAATAAAAATATTTGCCTGCAACGCTAGTGAGCTTTGTACACGTCGGTGACAATCGGCGTTTCAATGAACTTCTACGGCCTTGCGTTTTTGTCAATAAATTACGTAAAATTATCTGCAAAAACTGGAATGCTTGATTCATGGAATTTTTCAAACTATCTTAAAACACTAACAAAAGAAAAGAATATTAATATGCGGGAGGGTCAGAAGTAGTTGGGATGCCAGAAGTAGGGATATCAGTATCTTGTTCAAATCTATTTTTTCTTCGCATGTTTAACATCTTCATTATCATACAAACTGTATTATATACTTTGTATTAAAAAAAACAGATTCTCGATAACGTTTGTCAGGAAATGTATGAAGTGTATGAATTTGTTTCTTGATGTTATAAAGAAGACAAAATCGAATTATAAATGCTTTATTGTCCAGGTCATTTTCATAATGAAACAAGTTATTTATCACAGCCTTGTCCAGTCCTTGTGTGAAAATTTTGCTTTAAGATGTGAATATACACCTTGTGTTTCGTCGCATCATCAGTGATGTGTAGATGACCAACTCTTCATTAATAGATACTTCACTTCGCATCATTACTTCGAGTGTAAGATCAGATTTTGCGTCTAGTCTGACTCCTATGGCATTATGTTCCATTTTTAATTTATCGCCTAACAACTTTCATAGTAAAAACATGAATGGTAATGCTACGGCAAGAATCGGCGAATTTTCGACAGACGATTTTTCGAAAAACTCGAATTTGGGGACCCAGGTATCACAACATTTGATACATTTTGTTCCCAATTTTAGTAAATTACTTTTTCTAACACTTTGTGTACTCAAAATAAACCTCGATTCTGTGACCTCCTGCATAACAAGAAAAAAGGCACACGAAGCGCCACCGCCGTGCCTTATCTTTCAAAATGCGTGTGCAACACGGTTGATTCAAGTTCCCAGAAATAACAGTGGAGCTCTTTGTGGTCTCATTATCGTTCGCCCAAATCCACGAAGAACAAGGCAATCTTTGTGCCGTCGTTGTCGTTGTCTGATAATATTACAGGCTCATAGAAGTATTGAAACACGTTACAGCAAGTTCTACTTGTGAATATCGCCAATGGAAAGCTGCAACTCCAGACAAAAGAGTTTTTTATGTTCTTACATTCTTCCTTTTCTAATATATTCAAACTATTAGACTCGAATTTCCGACGTTGTCGTTGGATGGTTGTGATTCCGGGCGCGTCAACTACAGATATCATTAGTCCCGTAAGTGTAGCGCATTTTTGCCCTCGGGTGGTGGCGGTGATCTTCCTCTGCTGGCTGGCGAGATCCATCGCCGACCTAACGTCAGGTAGCGAAGTTTCCCCCAACCAGGTATATCCCACCAGCGGGGCACCGCCCCATCCCAGACCAACTCGAAGCTCCCAACCGATCTCTCGGCATGTGTGATAATGTAATACAGGTAGCGTAAATGTCTGTAAGGGGTGAGGATAAGACAAGGAAGGGGAAGGAAATATTGCGAGTGGTCCCTGGCCCGTTTGTTCGGGTACTTCTTCGGCATTCGCCTGGTGTTGATCGGAAAACTACTGATCAGAGCAGTCGACCTCTAGAATCCTTCAGACAGCAACTGAATTCGACCTAGCTGACAAGATGGTGTAGAAAATATTGCCACCTCCGGGACTCGAACCTAGGACCTCCCGGTCAGAGGCACTACAGTGGCTCCTTGATACAGAAAAATCGAATGATGGCAAAACGTCTGCCTACTCTCTGAAATCAAGGCTGGTCGTTAAACTGTTCAGCTGATTATGTCTAAAATTTCTTGAGCAGTACGTCAGCATAGTACACGCCAGTTTCTTCCCGAACTAACGAACAAGAACGCACGTTTCTAATTCGAACAACCTATTGTATTTTCAAATTCAGTGTGGGAGGTTGTCAAGAAAGTGAGAGAAAGACAAACTATTGCTAGTCATTTGATATGATTTTTTGTTTCATTTAAAGTATAGTTAAGTACTGAGTGTTGAAACGAAGTTGTATTGAACAAATAATTCTTCGTAAGAATTAGAAAACTAATAACTCAGCATATTTGTAAATTTTAATTCATCTGGAGTAGTAAAGATCAGATTTGAATAAATAATTGATAGAAGTTATGAGGACAGAATACTATCTAAAAGAATTGTCTTTGCATTTATATTTTGTAACTTTTCTTTCATTTTATAAATAGCAATGTATTTATGAATTTTGTTACAATTATAGAGTATCAATTGTAGGATAAAACTTTGGAATCAAATGTTAGCTTAAAATGATTATTCTTAGAAAAAATTTTTAATAATTAAAATCAAGCGGTGCATTTCAAGTCAGTAAAAGAAGTGAAAAGAAACTATCAACAAATGTTAGAAATTGTGAGACCAGAATTAGTGATTAGAGGAAACTTCAAACAATTATAAACAAAAACTTGTTTCTGTTTCCGTTGGCTGTGTGCATCGTAAGGCCATAGAATTTCTGGTAAATTGGTGGAGCTCCAATTGTATTTTGTATGTATTTATTTTTTTTGTATGACAGTGGAATAATTTTCGTTTATGCTATCTTGTATATTTTATTCTTATTATTAATATTACAGAGCATTTTTATCAAGGTATTCCTGAGAGTATTATTTGTTGCAAATTTAAGTGATAAAAAACATGTCCATTTTTATAATTTTTGTAGGCCTATAGCTTTTAAATTCAATTGACATGCAGGTTATAAAACCGAAAAATTAATTGGGGGGAAAACGCCTGTCTGTCCGTCCATCCGTCTGTATTCAACTGTAACCCCTAAATTTTATGTGTTTCTCCAAAATTAACATACCCCGATCGAACTGGGCCCGATCTCAAGCCGTGCGAAATTGAAGCCAAAATTTTGATTTTTTGAGACACTTGAAGTCAACGTTTTCTAAATTTTCTTGAAAATAGATCCAAATATTTTGATTTTGTCCACGGATAGTATAAAGAACGCTTAAAAAATGGCGCGAGTCTCACTTCTGTCGTTCGATTAATGATTCTGGGTGCGTAGACTGCTTAGGTCATTCGCCCCGTAAGTATAGTGCATTCTTAGTGCAGAATACTATATTTAGTCAACTGTATATATTGTACATGCATAGTTTTTGATAGTAATACGTAGTTTTTGGCGTCTGTTTTATTCTGGGCCGTGTGCACTTGCCATAAAATAAATAAATAAGTGCACGTTTTTATCGCGGGAGGTGACTGTCATTTTCCCCGCTGCATATCGAGTTCCGATGCAGACCTACATGGCGAGGGGGATTTTTCCCTACCAGGTATCTCCCGCCAGCCGACCCAGCAGAAACCACCTCTAAGCTCTCGATTGGCCTCCCAGCATGTGTGTTTGTATAGTGCATGTATGTGTAAATGTGTGTAAGAGGTAAGGGGAGAACAAGAAAGAGGAAGGAAAGATCGCGCGCAGTCCGTGGTCAATTTGTTAGGGAACTGCCTGAGCATTCGGCTGTTGTTGATCAGAGAAACTTCGGAAAAATATCGATCAGAGCAACCGGCCGCTAGGATTCCCCTCCTTTCTAGAACTGAATTCGTCCTAGCTTATGCAACTAGTGTCGAAAATCCTGCCACCACGTATGTGACTTCAGTACTCTTGAATCACGAAATACGAGGAATTCCTGATTGCTGCGATATTTGTCGGACACTGGCATGGGGATTATGAACCACAGCGGCTAATTCTGCTATTTGATTACTTTCTCCAGAGACAGTAGCTATCCGCGTTCTTTCCTTCAGTTGTTCACTGCCTTCAGTAGAAAACTGTATAGCAACCTAACAAATGAAGATCGCGATCGTACTCTTTGAGGAAAACACTCACATACAAAATGACAGCAGCATCAAAATTTCTCCCACATTCACCATAAACGAAAATCATTTTAATTTTCTCACGAACAGTTACATAACCCATGATGCTGACTACCACTTGACTTGCCTACCACTACTGAAAGCTGAACTGACGTGGCTCTCCGCCAGCTACCTTTTTATACGGAAAAGAGTTGAGAGTGCTTCTTCCCGCGGCTTCTTTGTATTGGCCGCGCGATTTGAAGCCCCTGGACGGACATGAATACAAATAATCGGATCGTCTCTCTCGATCAAAAATTTTATTAGACCAAACTTATGTAATCTGTAATAAAAAGTGGGGGTTACCATTTAAGATTTCAAAGTTGGTTCTCGCCCTCAAGGGGCGAGCGGGGAAGTTTGATTTTAGGTCAGACAGATCTCCCCCTTGAAGATATTAAATGTTTGCAATTCACATCTTATGTATGTTGTGTATTTTTCTAGATATTTTGATTTTTCAAATTCAATGAGCCACATTGTATATATATATTACGTAATTTTCTATTTGATATGGTAGACAGTGATAGGTAATGAAACAAACACCGTTGTTTTTGTGTCATTTATTGATATAATTTTCACATTTTCACATGGAAAAAGAAGGGTACCAAAATTAATTTCTGAAACAGTAAATATTAAATTTAAGAAAAATATGAATACGATAATTGATACCAACCAAATGACATCTAAATACGATACCGTTTTAGACAGGACAAACAAAAAAGTTCCTATAAAGCACGAAATTATAAAAACTCCGCGAATCGACCGCGAAATCCTTCTCCTCCCAGAAAGAAACCCAGACGTGACCTCTCTCAGTGACGTGACTGAAAAGCAACAAAGCAGTATCACAGCATAGGATACAGAATGAAAACTATACAAAGGTGAGCCTGACAGTGATATTTTGGTATTTATAAATTAATATACATAATTGTAAAAGGAAGTAAAGAGTTATGTTGTATGTGTTAAAAGACAATTTAAAAAATTAAAATTATAAAATGACAAATTTATGTTTTAAAAAAGTATTTTAGATAGATCAAATAAGAACAAATGTTAGTAATGTGTAACTGACTTTTAGTGTACACTTGATGATGAAAAAAATGAGTTCACGAAACGCGAACATTATGTCAATAAAAGACATAAAATAACAAGATGTTTGTTTTATGAACCATAACTGGCTACCATTACGAATAAAATAGGACGTTATATATATTTTTCCTTAAGTACATTTTTCTTCATATACATATCTTACAATAAAAATATATAAAATTTTTTGAAAATATGAGTAGTTTCTGCGTACTTTTGTGTAAAATATTAACAATTTTTAAAGAATTATTTTCTGAGAAGCAGCTCTTTAATTACCTTAAATTTCTTCTTGGGATATAGTAAAAGGAGCCAAAGATGGCGCATGTTCCATTTTTAGAGACTATATTTAAATTTTGCAAGAAGAAAATTATGCCGAAATTGTAGAATTTTGGTAATATTCATAGAAATCGTTCCAAGAGAATTAGGACTTTAAATACTATCATATATTTTGTTTTAAAAACGTTTAGTTTTCATATAAATTTTGTTTAGAATTAATGCAATATGTTAAAACGTGTTTAAAACGGCTCCTCATTTTTTAATAAAATTTCCTCCTCGGATTGAGAAAAGAACGCTTAAAAATTGTGTAGGACCCGCTTTCGAAGAATTCTTTGCATTTTCCAAAATTGCAAACAATTAATCTTGCAAAAATTAATATTTTTTCTTAACGAAATAGGTCCTTGTTTGAATTTTTGAAAATTTCAATTTGAAAAATTAATTTTTTTAATAGTCAGGTAGGTTGACTTCAGCAATGAGGTGTAGGGGTAACGTAAATAGTGTGCTTAGTCTAAGATCCTGTGTTGAGTCCTAACTCGGTTAAACATTTTTGGTTAATGGAAACACTTGTGCAAGTTTATGTAGTATTCTAATATTGCGCAACCTGCACATACAATGTCAAAACGTATGTGCTGTTGTAGCTTCTTTAGGTTAATATTGTTGACAAAGTAGCATCCCACACCTTTGCCTCTACTCCTACCAACTATCAAAAGGAGAACTCTATAAACGTGCGCACATTGAAGCCACATTTATGACCAGAAGCAAAACAAGGAGGACCATCTCAGAATTTGCCAAATGGATCAGGACACTGGACAAAAACTTGATAGATAGGGTTTTTAACCCAGAGCTAAGTACATTACTTGTTACAGGCGTATTTAGTCTTTATAAAAGTATTCAGTTAACTAATGATTGTATATCACTGTTAAAATAAATATTATTTTACTTTTTGATGATCAGTATAGACTATAAACAGTTATGCAGCATTATATATGTGTTCCTTGGCCTTTGAACTTGTGTAACGATTTTAATTGTTTAGTGTCATTTAGGAGTATGTTGAAAAGTAACGTACAATCATTATTATACGTGGATTTCTTGTAGTGGGCTGAAGAAAGTGACGCCTGATGAATATGATTCCTAAGGCGTAATTATAATATAAGGTTGTAATTCTAAATACCTACATTGGGTGAAAATATTTCCCACATATAAGTCAGTTTTGGCAACACCAACATAATCGTAAATATGTAGGGAAGTCTATGTCCAAATAAAGACAAGTTTGCCGGAATGGCGTGTTATTATTCGTATAATTATCTTCTGCAATCTAAAATCTTAGTTCTAGAGATGAGCTTTTTGATATCTACAATATCTGAGGCGGGAATGTAGGTACTCACTTGTACTATTGTACTCGGAAATGAGTTCGCCAAATACTCGCAGTGAGCTGAATGAAGGCTGAATGAATTTGAAATATTTCTGAATGTATAACATCCTCCCTCCCTCGAAGGGGCCATCGAAGGGCTATAATCCCACAGTGGCCATATCGTTCTTCTGGAATACAAAAGAACATGGCAAGTGCTTGGCAAAATGAAATCTCTCAAAGAGCTAAAATCCCATAATGACAAGTGCTTGGAAAATGAAATCCCTCCGACAATATCCCATTATCACGAGATCTCACGTTCTCCCAACTAGAACGTTCCGATATTGTTAACTGAGACCGACATCTGGCGGAGAAAGTGAGAATCACACCGAGGCGTGCCCAGGGGACGCTGGCGGGGCTCTCCTGATCGAAGAGGTTCCTTGGGCCCTCGCAGGGGAAACCGAAGCCTGGGTCGAGTACACGAATACGGAACTGTGGCCAATGGTAATGTCCCCGTAAAATAACCAATTGATTAAATAAAATTGGTTAATTGATCTTTAATTTCCGTTTCAGAGAGTACATATACCACTTCTCACATTTTATACATTCTCCTTGAAGGGTTTAGCGCTAGGCAGAAGCATGTGGGAAATTCTTCGCTTAGACCATGGAAATTCCTCTCGGACCAGAAAAATGTCTCACTCGGTATAGGTTCCTCCAGCAAAAGAGATCTTAGTATGTCAGGTTTTCATGCAGTTGCTTTATTAGATTGACATACCGTGTGTAGAGACAAAGGACATACAAAAACACTAGTAAGGTATTGAGGCGTAAAAGAAAAGTCTTACTCAAGAGGATGGATCCTACAAACAAGAAATATATTTTATTGACTTGATTGGCTACAACGCTGCCCATCATCAATAGTTAATTGTAGCCTCGGGTATCTATTTTGTTACCATTTTGCTCTTGTGCCAAAAAGTTGTTGCCCTTTACATGTATAATCAGCCTGAAGCAACTTGGTCGGGATCACATCGGTACACAGAAAATTCTTCCACCAAAAGTTTTGGGACCATCATACCTGGTACTTTCCGATTCTACTTCTTCTACTTCTTTACAATTGAAATGATAGCGTCTCTCTCTGTAATTGTTGGTGGACATATTTGAGAAGAAACAGTTTCCTTCCCATTCTACCATCCCGTAAACTTTATGAATCTTGGGGATGCTCGATACTTATTCTCACAGTATTCTTTTATCTTGGAGCTTTTTGGGGCTCTTTCAATCAACTTCCTTTGATCATCGAGTTACCAGAAAAATGTCTTCTGGTTGCTCGAATCCACAGCTTCCCGGTTAATTTCAGTACTTGTTTACAATATAATCAAGATATTATTTTCTTCTACGCCACCCTAGGGAATGGCGTTATTTCAAATTCTTTAGGAGCTGAACTGTGTGCAGTAAATGTGTGTCTTCACAATATTTTGCGTAAAATATGGGCTGTTTCCAATATCGCGATATCTTGTTCTTCCCTTCCTTTTGGACGCCCTGGACACGTTCTTACACGTAACACCCTACATTCAGCTGATCTCGATTTCCAGACTCTTGCATTGATGACATTTCTCTGCCTTCTAGGTAACGACGTTAATCGTTTGGCACAGCAACGTTTACAAGTAGACACAACGTTTTTACCCGATTCGGGATACGAATAGCTGGTTGTTTGCTATTATCATACGATTATAATGGTTTGTTGGTATATTGTGCCTAGTTAAGTCAGTTGGTTGGATCATCAATAAAGTCCACCATTTTAAGAATATTCGACCGACCTTGCTACTCATTGATCAATCCATCTTCTTTTGGGTACTCTGATGTTCCTTTTTTCCTCTGAAGGTGTAATATAGAACTTGATTGGGAATGCGTTCATCATTTATTCTTATTATATGGTCTTTCCATTTTTTCCTACATTCTTCGATCTTAAGTTGTAGATGCCCATGGTTTTCCTGATACTCTCGTTTTATATTTCGACGTCATGTTACTTCTATCAATGATTTAAAAAATAGCACGTCCACTTTTAAATTCTGCTGCAAGTTCCAGAATTCAGTGACCACTTTTTAACTCCATATAATCCACATAACTTTATAAAACGTAAGCAATAAATCCTTTCTAACTTTGTCTCTGGGAGTTCTTTTATTAGTGCCGTACATTCGATTGAATCTTTCAGTATCCCTGCCCTCATCCACCTCGCCGAGATAAGATATGTCACCGCCTAGGAATCTGAAGATATGATCTTGTTCTATTATTTTATCTTTAAGAACAAGTTTACATCTTCGAGGCTGGAAACCTTGGATGGAGACGTGGATTTGGTTTTACTTGTTGATATTTCTAAATAATACATTGTTTTCTATGTAATTCTCAAAAAGATCGCTGTTTGTTACCTTCGTTCTTGGTAACTACAACTTGGTCATCAACAAAAATAAATGTTTGAATAAAATTGTTTTCTTCAACGTTGTCTAAAATATTAAGATCTAAAAGTTCTTCCACTCTCGTACATCGTTGTCAAGACGTAAATTAAAAAAGATCGATGACTTAGAACACCATTGTCCAACGTCTTTATTTATGTTTGCCAGTATAATTTTCTAACTTCCTGTAGTCCAGATTTTAATTTTACATGAATCTGCGTACTTGCCTACATTTTCGGATTACTAATTATGTGGACTGGTATTCCTCATGCCTTCATAACTTTCCATAATTTACTTCTATTATCATTACTTTAAGAAAACCTTTTGTTCTTAGATGTCCATTTGTTTTTAGTGTTTCATACAAAAAGAAGTACATTTTCTAAATGTACGTTTTTAATTCCCCGTCTCAACTAAATGGCATGAAAGAAAATTCGTTCACATCTTACAAAATTGTGTGCTGTAATTTGTGACTTGAGCTAATATTCTATGTTATGTCAACAGCGGTCTTGACAGTTCAAGTTCTTGGCACTGCATCGAACTTCTGAAGCGGTTGGCGCAAGGAGGTCGCACTGTCGTCTGTTCGATCCACCAACCGAGTGCGCTTCTATTTGAACAGTTTGACACTCTGTATGCCCTTGGAGACGGCCGATGCATGTATCAAGGATATGTTACTGAACTCCTACCTCATTTGTCGCGGCACAACTTCATCTGCCCTGCTTATCATAATCCAGCAGATTTCTGTGAGTATGTGCTAAATTACTCATTAATTACATTATATTACTTAAAATTATAAATGACTGTCCGCCCCCGTTTATTCGCAATCAAATACGGATGAGAGTCGTTATTGTGATTCGGCATCGCGTAAAAAAGACCTTGATAAAAGTTCGATGACAGAACGAAATTATACATTCCAGTTGGTGACATGATAGTTCCTCCAGCTTCAGAAAGTATATCTGTGATGAAATGAACACAATGTGAACTTGAGCATCTTGACAAAGATTGGAGTTTGTGTTTGCACGAGGTACTTTAGATATACTAAAAGAATCTGGTTGCCCCATGCAAGATAAGAAGCAGTTATGGATATTAATGACGAACAGCATCACCAACGATAGCTACACAATCTGTCTTTGTTTTCTTTGTCGTGTTTGAGGGAGAGAAATATATTCTGTTCTGAGTTAGTTTTATATCTTCGATGAAGCTACGTTTCTTTGGTTTTCTTTTCAGAATATTTTAACGGCCAGCGATTGCTCACAGAAATGAATTGTTCCGGATCATGTTTGCAATAGAGGCAATTTCGACATTATTTTATAAGAGGCTATAAATGGCACACGGTTTAGGCGCCAGTGATGTTCACATGCGGACGGGCGAACGGACGGACAAACAGACGTTTTGCCGGGAGCAATTTTTTTGTATTAAGGACCACACAACGTGGATTCTGACTACAAAAGTATTAGAGGATGTAATTTACTTCACATAGGAGCAATAAGTATCGACTTTGTTGTTATCGGGGATCCACATTACCACTTTTTCTGACGTAAATCACCACATATCGCTGCTGCAATACAATATAATACTTTCTTTTTAGTAAGTACGTAGTAGGCGAGAAAGTGAAACTCGGAAGCTTAAAAGCCTTACATTTACAGTTATAGCGCATTGCGTCTTATTAAAACCTTTCCTAAACCTAACACGTCTTTTGTTTGCTGGCGAAGCTTCTCGAATCGAGATCACCGAATTGACTTGCCCGCCACTTTTTACCGACCAGTCCCCCTCCCTGTTACGAGGCGGCTTGAGCCGGGCCCCAAGAGTGAGGGCGCGTCCCTGAAGCTCCGAGTGGTAGCGATGGAGGCGGGGCTCAAACGCAGGCGCCTAGCGTATAAGGCTTCCGGCATCTTTACCAAATGCCTCCAGTAGGTCTGCGATCTGCACCAGCCACGACGATACCCTTCTCGGTGCCGACGGGCCTGTGGTGAGGCGGCGTGAACCGTGCCCCGACGGCGCTAGCGGCGCATCCCTGCAGGCACCGTACGGTAGCGATTGTGCTGGGTCGCGAGGGCGCTCGCCCTTGAGTGGGTCTTCCAGCAGAGCCCTTGCGCAGTCGCCCATCTGATCAATCAGGCTAACTGTGACGCGGAAGGGACAATTATGATACTGTGCGTACTATTCCCACAAGCCAGCTTCTGTGGATCCCGCGAGGATCACTGCGCCTAATAAGGCTGCCGTCACGCGCAGTCACTCGGTGGGGCCCCAGCGCAGCGACAGTGCCCGTCATGCGCGCCACTGCCGTTCGCCACTGCGCACATCGCGCGACGGAGGCAGTTTCCAGGAGTCACATTGCTGTGGGCTCCAGATGCCGAAAGGCAGCCTGCAGGGAAAAACCGGTTCAGTGGCGCTTTGTGTGAACGCTACCATTTATAACTTCTGCTGGAGGTGGTGCGGACGCGCATCTACGCTGCTTATAGAGGGAGTTCGCCACCGAGGGCCACAGCGAATCCATACATCTGAATCTTACAAATTTTGGACATTTTACGAGTCATATTGTATGGGAAACTCCGGAGACTTGACCGTAGAGGAGGTCTGACCCATCCCTATTAGAATGTTTCCTATTTATTGCTAGGTGCTTCCATATGGGATTAGATGATGAACCTGCAATAGGCCCAAGATCAGTGATTTTGTGCACTTGCTAGAGCTAGCAAGTAGTTAAAAGGTAGTTAAATGTATTTCAGTGTTTGGTACTGTGACTGCGATGCGGTCATTAAAATTTTAAAAACTTACCAGACTCACATTTAGGAGCCGAAATTCGGCGAAGGAGCTCGTCCGCGGAAAACAAGTCCGGGAACTGGTGATTGCCGGAGTAAATCAGGAAGCAGAGAGCAGGCGCGGCCGATCAGCGTGGCCTTTTTGTTTAGAATTTTTTTAATTATTCGGCGTTTCCAAAATCTTCCTTCGGGTTAATTTACTCACCTCACACCATCTATCAAAGAAATTGACAGGAACCGTTGATTTTGTGGCTCGCACAAAAATTCTGAGCAAGAGAAGCAGACACTAGAGAGATTGTGACATTAGTCGCATTAAAATTAAAATTTAGAAGACATGAAAATAATATATAGAATCGGAAAAAAATATATGAGCATAAACAAAGGAAACTACCAAAATAAGTAAATGATAATAAAAAATTATTGCAGATCTATGGTGTGTGTACATAACAGAATTAATGACACGTTAATGACATAAAAGACAACAGAAACTTTATGAACGTAAAGGTATCCCTGTGCAATTGCTCTACCTATTCGTCGCCGTCTACACAAGGAGGAGATTGTGTGGCGAGCGCAACGCTCCAGCCGCCCTTTGCCTCAGGAAGGATCCTGCTATTCACTTGAAAAGGAGGCTGAGTCGCCCTGAATGGAAATCACCAGATAAAGATTCCAACCTACGCCGACACTCGAACCTCGGCCCTTCAGGTGAGGAAGCGAGGGCCCTACCACTGACCTCTCTACATTAAAAAGGTCCAAACACATAAAAAGTATATCTACGTGCTGCAATTGTGTTCAATAAGTGTTTTTCACATTCGAAAAAATAAACGAAACGGGATAGATCGATTAATTGATTAGTGTTTCCAGCCGCATCAACTAGTAGGCTCATTAGTGTCGTAAGTGTAGTACAGGTTTTTATCTCGGGAGGTGGCGGTTATCTCACGCGGAATGGCGAGATCCGGCACCGACCTACATCGGCATGCGGAGATTTCCCCCAACAAGATATCTCCCACCAGCGTGGCACCGCCACAACTGGCACAAGTTCTACGCTCCCGACGGGCCTCCCGATAAGTGGTAATAAAGTGAATGCGAATGTAAATAAGAGGTGAGGATAGGAAAAGGAAGAGGATGGAAAATAGCGCGCGGTCCTTGGCCTGTTTATTAGGGTACTGCTCCAGCATTCACTTCGTGTTGATCGGAGAAACCACGGAAAATCACCAATCAGAGCAGCCGGCCACTAGAATTCTCCTCCAGACAGCGGCTGAAAACGACCCGGGAATAGATCGATTTTGTTACATTTTTAAAAAATCTACAAATTATTAAGCATCATTCTATGAGATTCAGGTACTTTAATTCTACTACGATAACTATACAACTCTCAATCCAATGAGATTCGATGATAGGAGATGTATTTGCCCGTCGACTACCCGCCGATTCCGAAGAGCTCGTGTGTCTAGAGGAGATGCTCAGTATTGTGAAAGGGCACTGTACTTTCTGGTATACGTACTTGCGTCTGGCGATCCTTGATATAAAAAAGTGAATTACCTGAATGAAGTAGATTACTTTTTCTAGCATATTGTATAGTAACACTCCACAATATTGAAGTTCGTGAAGCTGAAAAAATGACTGACAGCAAAACATGTCAGAACTTCTGTGGTCAACGCTAGCGCGTAAACCGTTCAGACCTCCGAAATTGACATTCCCAGGTCTTCTGGACGAACTAGAGGCCCTAAGTATTTGAAACAGATAGTTCTATTTTTGGGGGACTTTACGTGAAGCCTTAACATTTTCAAACTCTTGATGATTTAGAAAAGGTGCGTGAATATGGCACTTCCATATTGTAGAAAAATCAAATGACAAACACCAATGTGATGTCCAAGTTTGCCCCTAAAAAGAAAACGTTTTGCCCGAGGCACACAACGGCGAAAATCGTAAATCAAAGTTTTGGACTTAAAAGTGATTAGCACCCCCACAAGCGAAAATCGACATTATGAATGCATAATCGTTTTACGCACATTTGTCCAGTATTTAACATGTTTTACCCAAGTTACATAACGCTGGGAATCGCTCACATCATCATTCGGACTAACGCCTAAGCGGAAGGATCAATTATGATATTGCGCATACTATTTCTTAAACGTGTATTCTCGTTTCTCCAAGAAACATTTTTATTTTCCCAGACACAGAAATGGAGTTAAAAGCGGAAGCTTATTCAGAGGGGGCTCTGGCCAGCGCAGTCGCTCAGATGGTCGTTCGGGCTAAGTCCTACGCTGAAAGAACAGTTATGATATTGTGCATACTATTTTTTAAAGTGTGTTATCATTTGCCCAAGAAATGTTTTCGTTTGCCCAGGCACAGATATGTAATTACAACGAAGCATTTGATTGTGGAATATCCGTTTCGACAAAAATCCTGCTAATATTTAGGCGCTAGTGTTGTTCACTGGCGGATGAACGGATGGCAACATGTCAGGCAGTGAGAAATAGCGATGGACAGACTGACGTTTAAGAAAACACTTTTACGGTATCAGGGAAAGCAAGACGTTTTTTACATTGAAATCTCAAAATCGATTTTCTGATGCATTTCATAACTTTGTGTATACGAGTATTACATTGTTTAGTATGAACGTATAAACACTTCTATACTCTCTATTTTTACCGATATAATCTGTATATACTAGGTATGTGTACGAGAAAGTAAATGCGGATCTTTTTATTGATTTCAAATAATTTATTTATAACTTACTTATAATGAACAAAAATGTATAGATGACTGAAAATTATTACCGTACTAATAAAAAATGTAACCAGTTATGCTTCTGTGTCTTCTTCATCTCTACTTTTTAAATTGAGTTTTTAGATGAAAAAGTATTTCCACGCAATTCGCTGCGAAAGGTAAAGTACCCCCAAAATCAGAATATCCGTTTGAAACTCTCGGGACCTCTAGTTCGTTGAGATCGACTTGCGAATAATTTTTGAGCAAATCGTCTGAACTATTTACTTCTAAAAGTTCTCCACAAAATTCCAAAAATACTGCAAAGGTCCTTGAATTCTTCTATTCTCTCCAACAAACACATCTATTGTTCGAAAAGAAACTCTCGACTTTGAACTCATCTCTTTTTGATAAGATTGCTTCCGCACTTTTACCATAATTAACAGATGTTAATCGCGAACTTCGAGCTCGAGTATGAAGGAGGACAGATTTATGCACACCAGATATTTCTTTCTTATTTTATATTCTTCAAAACAGCCCCTTTTTCATTGAGTGATTGATTGATTAGTGATTCCGATCAACTAAGGTCATTAGTCCAGTAAGTGCTGTGCATGTTTCTCCTTGGGAGGGGGCGGCGATCTTCGCCGCTGGCGACGAGATCTGGCGTCGACCTACGTCGGCTCGTGGAGATTTTCCCCAACCAGGTATCTCCCAGCGGAGCACCGCCCCAGCTGGGACAAGCTCTAATCTCCCGACCGGTCTCCCGGCATATTTGGTCGTGCAATGCATGTTTCCGTAAGGGTGTGTGAGGGGTGAGGAGAGGATAAGGAGAGATCGCGCGCGGTCCCGTTTGGAAGAGTACTGCTCCAGTATTCGCCTGATATCGATCGGAGAAACCACGGAAAACTATCGATTAGAGAAGTCGGTTGCTAGAAATGTCCTCCAGTCAGCGAATGAATTCCCATTTTGACAAAACAAATCCTTTTAAGGACTATAGAACTTTTGCATGACACTTCAAGTCTTGGTCGTATTTACTGGTGGTCTTATCACCCGCATTATTACAAATTAATCTCTTGAATTTTTCAACTAACGTTAAATATGTGAGAAGTAGCGAGTAGTACAAGACTCTACGTAGTCTTTAGAAATTAGAACAGTCGTACTTTTTTTGTTAAATGGCAAAAATGTTATGATTGATTACGTTAGTGCTGTCACTATACCTTGTATCCTTGGGATGACGGAACGTATTTTTTAAATATTTTATATCTCTCAGTGGCCAGTAAAATTTTATCCCCACAATGATATTCACTTTCTACTCATGAATTCTATATCACAAATTCTTTCCTGCTGGGTTGTAGGCAGAGATGAACAGCAGCAAATGCAGCAGAAAAATATCCGAGTAGGTACACGCAGAGGAATCGAATCATAACGTTCGATCTCTCAAATAAAATTGAAATTACAGAGGCAGCATAACAATGCGAACTAAGTCAAATAGATTTTTTGCTTATCTCATAATTAGGGTTACTATACATTCTCTTTTCCCCGGACATGTCCTCTTTTTTATGTAAAAAACCGTCCGGGTGAATTTTACAAGAAAGGAGAAAATGTCCTTTTTTATTGGAAGGCGAGAGGTATTTCTTTTACATGCAACCTAGACGTATGATATATGACGGAGACTGCGCTTTTTTCAACTTATTTGTCTCTCCGATATCATAACATTTGTATAAATAAATGAACTTTAACTTCAACTATCTCGCCCAACAACCGCCAAAATCTACTGATCAACTGTACTCCCAAATTCCCTTTACTCCATGAAATGCGACAGAGCTGTCATTAGCTGGTACAACATATTGCGGGTATAGATTCAGTGCTCAGTTGTGTTAATACTGTTCTGCTGGCCTGAGGAGTAAATGCTTGTGGTGCTTATATTTCAAGTATGATGCCAAAAAGACTTAAATACTTAAAGAAAAGTTCAAAGCATTTGTTGCGAGATTCAAAGCAAGGAAAAGTTCTAATTGGTGAGGGAGATTTCATCATCCACCAAATGCTTCTGACATAAAAGTGAAAAAGTCCGAAATGATAATTAAGAAGTCCTATTGTAAGATTGTGAAAGTGATGACAATGATTAAAGTATTTATTCTGTCAGTACTAGGTATTTTGTCTTTCAGAAAAATAAATTATTGTATTCAAGTTTTTTGAGAGCGTAGGCTTCCGCGCCCGGAGTCAGTATTTACTAGGCTGTCCGGGTGACGCCGCGTCCATGGCGAAGGTGCCGACGTTTCGGTCGCCATTCTGCGACCTTCCTCAGGGCGTAATGCGGGGAGATGTATTTGTGTATTCTCCGTAATAATATTCGTCCATCGCAGTCGGGGATTTCCCATTTACGCAACACCGTCCACGCCCTGGCCGGACCGTCGTGGAGTGTCCAGGGGGGTGTGAAGTGAGAATATAAGAATGTTGGCGCCATCGGCACGCAGAGGGGCGGCATGTTGCGGCAACGGGCACGCGCCTCAGCCAGTCCCTTGGGCAGGACGGGGAACGCGACCTTGGGTGTTCTCTGAATTGGGCGCACCGCTCACAAAGCAATATGCGCTCCTAGTGTTACCTAATGTCGAGATAAATTTGGCAAGAGCTTCTTATAATTTCGTATTAAATAATCCCTCAATCCTTGTGCCGCCACAGTCCGGAAACAACGCGTTAATTTGGTTTTCTCGGTAAGTATTAAGGTAACACAATTGTGTATATGAATTATAGAAATTAATAACATGAAGGGCAAGATATTGCAAACATGCATAGAATTAATACAGCATTACAATATAGCCATTTACGAGTTTGTCAAAACATTATGTAATAAAGCGGGGTAGGTAGGTTTGACCCAATAAGTTAAAGGAGGGCGTAGCTATATTATTGGTAACAATTATGGCGCAATTTTGCATAGATATGACAGTAGAGTTCATTATAATGCTTATTTTGCATAGCTGTCACTTTTGTGAAAACCAAACGGAAATGGAAGAATTAAAGAACGCCAAGACTTATTGGATGTACTGGGACCGAAAGATTTACATCGATACTAAAGTTTTATTTTCGGTTTATAACTCTTCAATATGCATTAGTGGAGGTAATAGTGGAACTGTCTTTTCTGTAAACAAAATTTCTGTGGTTAAGTTAATCACACGTTTATTATTGGATGCAAGTAGGGAGATTTCCCATCTTCAATTCATTTTTTCTTAAATATGTACAATGAACCTTTCTAAAATTTATTATTTCTTTTTTAAATATATTTTTCAGTAAACTACATTGTCAATGAACAATGAAAATGGCAATTGTAATTGCATTATTATTGTTACTATTAAAATGGGTCGTACATGGTGCGTTTTTTAACAGTTAATGTCTCTAAGTTTCATTCTCATAATTTACTTTGTTTGCCAGTGATTTATACTAATTCATTATTTCATAAACTTATCATTTCCAATATATCGCCAAACCGCATTCACTGTGCGTCAAACCTCTGTCACATAAGAAGGTTTGGTCCAGATCTGCATGGTTTATGTAGTACAGTTTATGCCAGATTGCAGTAGCTGAAAAGGATAAACATTTTTATAACTATCTTGCTTAAAAAGTTTGTGTTAATAGTAAAGCATGCAACATCACTAATGTAATGCAGGTGCGCACATGAAGAATCAAATATCTCGCATAATGTGGCCTATTTTACCTACTTGTAAAATAAATAAATTTTGTTAAATTAACTTATAAAGTAACTTAAATTAACACTTTTTCCAATAACTACAAAAATTTGATTTTAATGAGTTCTCTTTAACACATTTTCTTTTTTAGGAGAAACTTTCATCACCCTGCAGTTTGACTCGCTCATATCAATGTGCTTCTTCTAATACCTACAAACAATGATTGCTCCAAGAAAGTTTCGCAACGATAGTTATTAACTCTTTTCTTTTTCAGTGCTTGAAGTTCTCGTTGGAGAACATGGTCCCATCAACTCTCTCGCACAGAGCACAGAGGTCAAGAAAGCTAATGATACTTCCTTGAAAGTGCCTTCTCTCTCAGGTAAAAGCAGTTATCGATGCACGGTTTTGGAACATCATTACTTCAAATTTAATTTAAAATGATAAGGGACTTTATCTTCTGTTTTTATTATCGATTTAATCATTACTATTGCTCAGGCTCAAATACAAATTAATGCAAGAAATACTATGGAGTTATTTATAATTGCTTCAATGATTGCAATACCGCATCTTTTCAGCATTTACAAAGTAATTTTATTTAATTTTATTTTTAATTACTTTACTTATTATTAATTTTCATCTATAGCAATTTTATGTTTCCGAGAGTGTTTCGTAGAATCTGAGCAACATGAAGGCAGACACTTGTTTTGTTTTTCATACTATTCCTTCTGGTTTAAGGATATGTTACCAAAAATGATTTCTCTGATATAACGTCTCAATAAACAATAAAAAATTAAATACCGACTGAGTCGATACAAATTGTCGTGGTATTGGATTGACATCTAGCGATGAAAGTTTTCGTGGCGCGAAATTCGGTTTCGCAGTTCGAGAGGTTGGAAGGACAGCAATCGCTCTTGCACATTTCTGCATGCAGTCGGCGCTCACGCACACTCGGACAATCGCACGCCTCGGAACTCCAGATCTGCGGAGGCAAAGATTAAACACCCCTGGTAGCGACGCTCTCCTGGGATGTACGTACGATGGCGTTTAGGAAAGAGTAAAATTGCTCCGTCTCCTACAGGACCGCGGAAGTAACTTTTTTAGAATTTATTTCCTGCCCGTTAGGCACTCCAGGCCTTTCGAGGGTTATTATTTAAAAAAAAAGCATAACACGAAGAACATAACAGTTTCTTACAGTTACTACAGGGAACAAGTGCAAAAGTACTTGCTACATACAGTTTATATTTATATTTAATTCAATAATACAGCATTGAGCGCGCACGCATTAATACCGCACTTGTAAATTATATGTATATGTATATCTATATCATCTATATCTATATCTATATCTATCTATCTATCTATCTATCTCTCTTTCTCTCTCTCTCTCTCTCTCTCTCTCTCTCTCTATATATATATATATTATATATATTCTAGAATATATATATAATATATATATATTATTATATTATATATATATATATATTATATATATATATATTCTAACGCTGACCTTTGGTTGCCGGCACTAGAAAGAATGTTCTGAACAAGCTTTGTAATCTCAAGGGCAGGATCTTTGGGGTATGAGAAAGATTTACATCCAGACACAGAATTAGGGAAAAACAGTGCGTATATTCTCCAGAATATGACACATACATTAGCAGTGACGAAGAATACAATAAAACCCCAAATATAAAATTGCACATAAATATCCAATACGAAATAAAAAAATACTGTTCACACCCTTTAAAAATAGTTTTTGTTTACTCCTCTGGTTCGAATATTACGTCCTAATTCACTACTATGTTACAACAAATACCCGTGCACGATAACTATTGCTTGGCTACCACCGTTTAAACAAAAAATTTTAACTCCGTGACTGAGGAGTGCAACAAAATTATATCCACTTGCTAAACAGAATCTTAGGTTTTAAGCAGAACACGTTATTGAAAGGCTTACTTACTACAATTATTTACAGTTAAATTCTCATCGTCAAGATTACATAAAATTGAGGAACAATGATTAACACAGCTTTTCAGGTAGCATTTATCATTAGAATGAACTGTATTACCGGCGTACAAGGTTATTTCAATTACTTTGCCGTTATCTAGATTTTACATGAATATGCAAATTACAATTACAGCCTTTTTGCTGCCACGCTAACGTTCAAGTCTCTGTCGGCTTCCAATTGTTTTACAAAATGTCTGTTACCTTGACGGGCTCTCAATGCGCAGCTTGCAAACCGTTTGGCGTTGCCGTCGTTTGACCTTGGCCCACTTCCGGCTGCCAGGTAGCTTCATCGCTTCCTCGCAGACCAGCCGTCCGCGATGTCGTTCGAAAACGCCGTCTTCCCTCTCTCCTGCCACCAGATCCACATCCAATCTTCTTTCGTCTCGCCTCTTGACGACTCTCGGCACCGGAATCCTTGCCTCTGCTTCTTTCTTCGACCTCTTCCTACGCGGCACGCCAACGCCTATTTCAAAGTCCTCACGCGTGTTTGCTAACGGCGTATCGGTTTTCTGGTGTTTTTTTACACTTCTTAATCGTGTAGCTAACTGCACAGTTCTACTCACGCCTCTGGACAGTTCACAGTTCTCATTTTTGCGGCCCCTATTCCGCCTCGTATTAGCTATTCCACTACTTTCCACAGTATACTATGCAATATTCCACTTCGCCTAGTTAATCACAGTTCAGAAGGCTGATTCTTCCGCTATCACACTATTCTTTCGCCTGAACAATTACTTCGCACCGTCCTTTCTACAAAATTGCGTCTCACAATCCGCACATCTAGCTCTTTATGCACGTCCGAACTCTTCGACGTCCCGTACAAAAGAAAACTGCCCTCTCTAATTACTACCGCTCTAGCTGACCGCACTGGACCTCTCACCTCCGCGTCTCGTTCAGAAATAAGTTCTTACTATCGCTGCGCCATGACAAGGTGTTGACTCCGCCCTACCGTCCCTCGCTCACCGCACTCGGCGTCTCGTGCAGGTTGCTCCTCTATTTATAAGTAGTGTGACGAACCCGCCCGCCTTTCCCGTGAGCTGGAAGTTCGCCGCCGCGCAGGGCAGCAACTAACAGATAGCGCTGTTTCGTTAGTAATTTATTCGGCTCGCCTGTGCTCCGGTGATCTTCTCTGGATTCGCCTACGCTTTGTGGGTGTTGTGGGGTTTTAGCTTCTCTCAAACGCCACAATATATATATATATATATATATATATATATATATATATATATATATATATATATATATATAAAAATTACGTATAGTGTTTATAACCTCACCAGCAATTCATGTCAGCTTTAAGCAATATTTTGGAATGCGTGACAATATCCTGGATGGTGCATAAGCTGTACGGCCAAGGTTGGTTCTTTTCTAGAACTATCTTGAAGGGTTAAATACATTTTAGTGTATATACATAGTTTATTTATGCAAACTTTAATGCAACTAATGTTTAAATCCCTTTAGATTTGTGCATCAGGAATATACCAGGGAGCTTTGATAACCAATCTTAGGAGTTTTTTGGATAATTTCTAATTTATATACTAAAGCGTCTCCCCATAATGAGCACGCATAGGTGAGCGTCTGGCAAATTATACATTTTTTAAAATTTTTACTCCGTTTTATATTCTTAATGCTGAGTTTTTATTTATTAATGGGTAATTGGGATTATATTTGCATACGTTTTGTTTGCTATATCTACTATGTGGCTCTTCCATGTTAATCTCCAATCTAATTTGACTCCTAGGTTTTTGATGGGTTGGTTATTTTGTAGTCAGAAATTCGGACTGTTAAAACTGGATGTCTCATAAATATTTTAAGAAAATTTTAGCTTGTGATTTGTTTGGGATTATGTAGATTATCCATTTATCAGTCCATTTAATTAAGGTGTTTAAATCATTTTGTAGGTATTCCAGGGCAATAGTCAGTTCTCCATGTTGTAATAGGATGGCAGTGTCATCTGCGATCAAGGATTCTTCGGTATCCATTAATTCCGGAAAATCGGCAAGGTAAATTTTGAATAAAGTTGCTGACAATGGTGAACCTTGTGGAACCCCAGCTGAGACTATTTATCCGATATGGTCGTGTATTTTAATATTGAATGATCTGTTAAGCAAGAAATGTTCAATTATATACTGAAGATATTTGGGAATGCCTAGTTAGCGGTATTTCTATTTTAGTCATGTGTGTCAGACACTTTTGAACGCTTTAGTTAATCTAAAAATACAGCTGCCGTGTACTTTTTATGAATGTGCCTTGTAATCAAATCCTTAACTCTTAAAATTTTGTGTTCAGTAGAGTGATTTGCTTTAAGCCGAACTAGGCATCAGGGTTGGCCTTTGTAGCTTATAAAAATTTATTTAAACGAAATTAAATTAGTATATCAGACACTACGGTAACGGTTACTATGGTAATAGTACGTGAAAACTGCATTGCAATAATTTCAACCGTTCAAAAATTATATGAAATGCTAAAGTTATGTGACCAACCCTGTATATTAAAAACGGGTATTTTGAATTTGTCAATTCAATGGAACTGCGTTTCCGTAATGCAAGCTATTTGTATTTCGTGGAAAAACAAACTTTCTAAATACAGTATGTCCAGGGAGGAAACGTCGAAATTTCCAAAAAATATTCTCTTAAGATAGTTTTAAGCATATTTTGTCTAATCTTGTATTTTTTTAAGAAATACTTTCTATGCAAAACTTTGCATTTCAGAAACATATAAACACTCCAGAAATATGTAATTTGTTTAATATTTATAAAAGATATGAACATTTTGTTCATAAAGAAAACTTTACACAGAAATAAAAAAACACCCACTTTACACATTACACACTGCTTCTTTATTTCTGTGATAACTGTAATGTGTATGTGTAAATTTAGAGCCTACCATTACAAACAAATAATGAACGTTGTTTACATACGACTGTTTTCATGCCCTTTCTCACTTTCCCGGGATGCATTTGCGTCCACCTTTCTCTTTTTTATTTGTTGCGTCGTCATTAACGCAACGCGTCTCTTGAACCCTGTTGGCCGTTGAGAGCTTACATGGAGTAATCCTCCTTTACTATCTGGGTCAAGTCACGGTTCGTTGCAGTCAGTCAGTGCCTGGGCCATTCGCCAGGGGATCGTCGCCCTTTAGATCCCGGGGTTCCTAGCCGGTCACCCAATCTGGAACCCGCGAATCTCCAATTACGCTTAATCTTCGTGACGTCACGGAGCATAGTAAATGAATTCGTCTAGCGACCACGACTGGACTTGGACAAATGTCATATCTTATCATGATAATTTTCTTTTCTACAACTTCTTCTTCTGGTATTTGTTCTGAGTTCTAATATTGTGCTATTTTAGCTTTCAACTCTCGTGGCAATTCGGTTGGTATTCATCTCAGTAATATTGAGTCAGTATAAACGAAAGGCGATGCATTCTTGGCTGTCCGGGATGAGCCGCGTCTCGGTCAATTGTACTGACGTTTCGGCCATCTTGCTGTGGCCTTCTTCAGAGCTATACTGCTGCTGTAATTTATGCAGTATAGCTCTGAAGAAGGCCACCCAAGATGGCCGAAACGTCAGTACAATTGACCGAGACGCGGCTCATCCCGGATAGCCAAGAATGCATTGACTCCGGCCGCGGAAGCCTACGAACCCATAAACCAAAGGCGAATTCGATTCTTGTCTGCAATTCTTGTTTCTAGCCATTCCTGAAAATATCAATAATGTTTTATCCTCCTAAAAGTTGGTAGAGCCTATTTGGTTTTTACCACAGAAAATACAGCTTATCGCTAAATCTCTGTGGGCAATGCGTCGGTCGGTTCTGCTTGTCAACAGGGCTCCTATGTAGGAGGGCGCACGGAAGCATTGTGACCCCAGCGACAGCCCGCAATCATGTGACGAGCAATGGACTTTGCAGATAAAATATTAGGAGAAAGGCACTGAAGATCACAAGACTGCGATTTTTTTATTAAACGTGTACATGAAACAATAAAGCCTGGGTTCCCAATTTTCCCATGCGATCCCTCTCGGGTTGAAGTTTAGATGCTCTATAACATTGATAAGAAATTCCAAACTTTCTCAGAGAAGCATTCATTTTGCAGAAATTTCGATGGCAAGTGAAGAAGGCATTAGGAACATCAGATCCTGTGACATACCACATCCTGCGACATGTGAATCGATTGAGGAGTTCCCAAAAGAAAGTTCCCAACCTTCTCTCATATTGCAGCTGCGTGTTTTACTTCACCGAAACTATCTCATATATATACGTGATCCGGTGAGTAAATACGATTTAATAATAATTTTCTTATGAAATAGTATACAGTACCCATGTGAATAATATTTACATTATTTGTTTTTATTCTTTAGTTCCTAACACAGACTCGAATTGTAATGCATGCAATGATTGGGTTATTCATCGGAATGCTTTATTATGATATTGGAAATGATGCTGCATACGTAATGGATAATTTTGGCTTCCTGTACTTTTGTATAATGTTTATCCAGTTCACGGCATTTTCTTCAAAACTTTTATCCTGTAAGTAAGACAGTCCCTTTAATTCTCACGAAGAAGAGTATAATTTTTAATTCTTAATTAAAACAACGAAATAAATATTATTTTTTGTTCTGATGGGAAATGTATTCACATATTTTACAGCGCTTAAGTTACATGGATACTAATACATCGTGCAACAAAATACTCGTGGTTGCTCTGTGAAGATTATTTTACATTAATATACAACTAAAATTGAATTGAAATCAACCAGCCGTTTTACCAGATCAAGTACTATGCCTTTTTAAAAGTACTTTAAGCTTCTAAATTTCATTTAAAGCCACCTCGTAAGTACAATAAAAACAAATTCTTTCACATTATTTTCACAAACATTGGAACGGCTAATTCGTCTTCCTGAGACTATAAATAGGACCAGAACTAACCAATATTATGAAAAATAAAAAAAGAAATCATTTTGAAACGTTTCAAACACTATTAAACTAATCGCGGAAATTCGTGGTTTTGGAGTCAATTAATATAAATTAATTTACAAGTAAAAACAACTTTTTTTCAAATTTGTAGTATCCTTGGTATTTATGACAATAAAAAACTACTATAAAAAGTGTATTCCTAACGTGTAAAGTTACAACCCACAGCGTTTGGCATACTAAGGCATACCCCTCACGAGTTGCTTGCAATGAGGTGCATTAAGGGAATGATATTGATGCTGAACATCATGGTACGCTATTTTATACTACAGACTGAATAATTTACTAGTTATTAATAGTTTAGTTACATCACATTCCAAGGAAATAGAATGTAAAATCAGACAAGAAGTACGGGTGAAATATTCTCGACTGGCGTACATTAATAAATGCAGCAGGCATAAAATAAATATAGGTATCGGGAAAGACGTGAAAAGAAAATGCCTGAAAAGATAATGGTAAGGAAAGTACCATGCAAAAAGGCGCTATCAAAGTGCAAAATAGCTTTCTGCCGAGGAAGGAAGAATAAGGATGTAACATTGTTAACCATATGTGAGTGTACCACTTTACTAATCGTTAATGATTTGATTTGCAGGTCATTTAATGTAAATGCAAATATGGAGGTTGATTAAACACTGTCAGTTTTATCTACATTTGTATTTTTTAATAGTATTGGAATCTCAACAATACGATCTCGAATTTTCTTTTCTTAAAATACGGTACGTGTTTAAAGTTTCTTTTGACCTGTAACTTCGTTCCTCCTTACGGATTACGGTATTTTAGTGCTTTTTCAAAGATGGTTACGATTGATGCTAGTGGCGAGACCATACCCGCAATTTTGAACTTGAAAATCGAGATGTTTATAGGAGTCGATGGCAAATAAATGGATGGGAAGGACGTATGTTGCACGTACAACTGTCAGACAAAACTGTCTTAGCTAAAACTCGGTACACACACCAGAAATAATATCTAGTTGCTCCATTCCGGTGATCACTAAAATATTTTAATTGAGGAAGGGGGAGGGGCTTTACCTGAATCCTCTCTGACGTATTCAATTTTTTTTAATGGCTGCAAATGTTTTCTTTAAATTCGCTGTGCGAATAGAGGAAAGTGAAAATCTCAAACAAAAATTTGCCTTCCTATGTTTGTAAAACTTTCTGAAAGAATTTGTAATGGCTGGTATTTGTACATTTTAGTTGTACATCACTGAACAATGTGAAACAATTTTTCTGACTGAACAACTCAACACTGAACAATTTTTCATATGTGCAATCATAACTTTCTCTTTATTTCCTCGCCTCCTACACTCTTGCGTGGTAAATCGAAAGTATTGTAATGCCGAGGCGGATAGTGGCCTTTTTCATCAGAAATGCTCGCAATGTGAAACCATGATATCGAAAAAGTGGATTAATTTTGTTCCTATATTTAGAAAAAATACTGTCTCTAACGTGACGTGTGTCAGAATCTGCGTTTTGTGGGTCCTTGATACCGAAACGAGTGGAGCTACAACATCACATACTTTTTCACTTTTTTGTAGCTAAAGCAATTTTCGAAAAATTAGAGCATTCAACGAAAATGAAACCTGCTTTATAAGCGAACCTTTTTCTATTTGGGGGCAAGAAAAGGAACAAATTGGTGCCGCTTTTGAGATTTTTTTGTTATAGCGTTTACTTCAAGTAAAAATTTCGCAGAAGTGTTCAACACTACCGATTATGTCATGAAATCGATTTTCTTTCAAAAGGATGTTTCTTTGGAGACCAGTAGGACGAAGTCCAGGCCCAGCGATTTTGAAACACATATTATATTTTTAAGGGTATTTTACATGAAACCATTATATTTTCAGAATTTTTTCAAAAGGGGCCCCAAATTTGAGAATTAATTGTTTTTCTCGGATGCAAAGAATAGTTTTAAAAATAGCGCTGATTCCATTTTCGTTGAATTCTCTTAACTTTCGAAAATTACAAATAATGCCAGAAAACCTGTACTAGCGTAGCACCAGTCATCACATTCTCGTCTACCACGAACGTATACTGTGAGAAAGTATTGTAATGAGACAACAAAAAGGTTTTTTACATAAAAACTCATTTTGCGAATTGGGTTGTGTTGTCAGGAACCACTTTTTGATGGTCCTTGATAGAGAAACATTGGTTTCTGCAAAACGTCTATGTGTTCGTCCTGGTAACGACATATTTGCGTCTAAATCATTTACACCATTTTCTTCAAAATTAATATTCCCCAATCGATCTGGCTGAACTCAGTCGCTGCGAAAGTCGCTTGAAACGGATATTCTAATTTTGGGGTAAATTACTTGAGGCCTAAAAAACTTTTTCAAACATTTTCCAAAAATGAATCCAAGTTTTTGCATTAACTTTTTTCTCGGATAAAGCAAACTACAATTATAAACTGGTATAGTTCCGATTTTCAGTATTCTCTCTAATTTTTGCAAGAATTACAGAACTCCAAAATTTGTGTCCGCGTCTTCCTACAACTAAATCGAAGATAGAGATTTTTAAACATTTTAATTTTTACTGTCTCGTTCTTCCTAAGAAGAGAAAGTATTGTAATCGTACGACGGAAGACGACGAATTTTTTATAAAAAAACTTTTATTGACAACGAATTGTTGACAAAAAAATGCAAAAATAGAAAAATTTTGTTCCTATTTATAGTAAATTACTTCCTCTAACACGTTCTGTATTCAGAATCCTTGTTTTGTGAGTCCTTGATACCGAAAAATCGATTGACGGCAAATCCTCTGAGGTCAACGCCACGCCTAAACCGTTCAACCGATTTTCTCCAAAATTGATGTTCCTCGAAATAAGTGAACTCAAGGACCTTTGAGTTTGAAATGGATATTTTGATTTTTGAGGGTATGTTAGAAAAATCCTCAACAAAATTTTCTCAAAAATGGCCCAAATTTGTTTGATTAAACTTTGTCCTCGAATAGCGTAAAGGACGCATAAGAGAATAGTAAGTCTTATTTTTGTCAGAATCCCAGAGTTTAAATTTTCCGCCCCTTCTTACAACTACGATATTAAAGACAGCTCTTGAAATAAAGTGCAATGTACGATTTTTCGTAAATATGAGTAGTTGTTACGTGATTTTGCGTGAAATATGTACAAGTAATGTCTTAATTTTTATAAATATTTTCTCTCAAAAACCCACTTCAAATTTTTCCTTTAAATGTTTCCCCTCATCTCTATCAAAAAACGGTAAAAAATGTTGGTACTAGAGTCATTTCCGCCAATCTCTGAAATTTCGAAAATTGAAGAATGTTAACATTTCAAAACTACAAAATTAAAGATAGAGATGTTTGCCTTAAACAAAATCTCTTATAAAAATCAGCGGTTTAAAAAGACCTCATACATTTTTTGATAACAGAATAGTTTTGCCTAATTTGTGCTTGAAATTAATTTAATTAAAAAAAATATTTTCTCAAAAGCCGTCCAAATTTATTCTTCGTTTTTTCTATAAGTAACGCTTAAAAGGATGTCACAGCTCTCATTTTGATTAAATTCTCTGAATTTTCGAAAATTGCAAATTTAGAAATAATGAGGAAATGTATGTGCTGTTGTAGGACAACTAGTTTTAAATCGTTCTTAGTCGTTCAAATATACAAAGAACGGATCTTCTAAAAAAAAACATTTTCGGAGTTAGCGCGTCTTGGTATACACCTCTTCAGTTAAATTCATATTGGATGCAGTAAAACAGTCCGCTGACCCAAATCTATACTGAATGACACAATATGTGAATATAGCGTATCAGAAATTTGCTGCACAGCAAAATTGAAATTATTTCCACCTTTCCCTTCCCGTCCAAAATCGTTCCTCTCCGACCCGTCCTTATAGGCGCAACTGTATTTTTTTTTACAAAAATAAATACACTACCAAAAAATTGAACAAAAAGGAAGTTATTGAGAACAAAAATATTTGCGAATGCGTAGTTAACAAAATACGAGTAGAACATGGTGTATTGTGTTCTAAGGGGATTGTGAAGTTCAAGTGGAATCGTCGAAGTTAAAAGACGGCACCATTTAAGCTTTCTGGTAATCGTGTTGCAAGCCTTTACAGGTATCTGCACTTTGTTTAGACCATGAATTCCCAACCATTTTCTTGCATAAATCCAAAACGATATTTGCTTCTTGTTCCCCATAATATTTTTATTTATAATATATTGTGATAAGCCAGGAAGACAGTTTCATTTAACATAAAAACAGCGTCAAGATGTTGTAAATAGCACATAAATCAATCATACAGTATGTGAATAGTCAAAGAATATACGTTGTCAGGGTGATCAGTAAACATAGAACTATGTTTCACAGTCGCAAGCATGAAATATTTATTGTGGAAAGGGAAGCACAGCCCCTTGCTACACAGGGAATCACGTATGAAGGAGGCGGTGCAAGGAGTAGTCTTGTAGATCTTTTTAATATTCAGTCTCTTTCACGGCAGCTGCCATCGGGAACACATCGACTAGACAGTACGATCATTTTCGGTCAGGATAGGGTTAATTATTTTCAATTAGAAAGAAGTGGTAACACGGAATCGTGTAAGATATTCTTCAGAGTTTTAAATGTGAATAATCTAGAGATGTCAAAAATATTTTCTGGATGTTAAGTTAAATTGGATTAGACTTGGACATGGGATGGAATTTATAATAGGATAAAAACGTAGACGGGTTTTGTATTCAACAATTCGTGTTGAAAGTAGGCAGTCGCGAGTAGGTACCCACGCGCGGTACAGCGTAAGGAAGTTGCGAACGCGTAATAACTTAACTTTCTAATTATAATATAATAACTTAATTTAATATAATTTACTTTTTAATTTAATATAAATTAATTTACTCTAATAACTTAATTTTCTAATTAAAGTGACAACAGACTGTTGATGCCCCGGAGACATATTGTAATCAGATTTTGACATTGATAGTAAATACGATAGGCGAGACAGTGCAATGACAGGAATACACAACATGAAGAAAGAAGGCCGGATGGACGCTCAATTGGAAATGAACAATGCGCGCGAAGATCATGTACGCCATGAACCATAATTTGGACTAGTATAGGAAGATAACGATTGTAGTCGAGAGAAGTAATGGCAAATCAGTTCACGAGCTCATTAAAGGGTGTAATCTAAAATTGTTAAATAAATGTTGAGTTGTGTATTTGGAAAAAAGGCTGATAATTTATAGTAGTTCCCATAAATTAAAAATAATATATTAAATTAACAGAACGTCCAGAGATAGCAATTCTGTATAGATTGCCCGTTCACATTTAACAGGTAAAAAGATAGCATGTTATGTGTCAAAACCCTCAAGTTAAAAACAGTTTTTAACTGTTTTTGATGTAAATAAATTAATTAATTAAAGAAATAATTTCATTGAAAAACCAAAACCAAAAACTAAAAAACATGTGCACCTCCCTAATATCGTGTAGGGTCCCCGCGAGCGCGCAGAAGTGCCACAACACGACGTGGCATGGACTTACTTAATGTCTGAAGTAGTGCTGGAGGTAATTGATGCCATGAATCCTGCATGGCTGTCCATAAACTCATTAAAGTACGAGGGGATCTCTTCTGAACAGCGTTTTTCAAGGCACCCAGATATGCTTAATAGTGTTCATTACTGAGAATTTTGGTGGCCAGTGGAAGTGTTTAAATTCAGAACAGTGATTCTGGACCAGTCTATAGCAATTCTGGACGTGTTGGCTGTCACATTGTCCCGCTCGAATTTTTCAAGTCCGTCAGGATGCACAATGAACATGAATGGGTGCAAGTTAGATATACGTAAGCATTAAACATGATGTTTACGTACGTGTCACCCGTCAGAGTCGTATCTACATGTATCAGCGGTCCGGTATCAGTCCAAATGCACACACACCATACCCTCACAGAGCCTCCATCAGTTTGAACAGTTTCCTATTGACATGCATGGTCCATGGATTAATGAGGTTGTTGCCATACTCGTACACGTCTATCCGCTCTAAACAATGTGAAACGAGACTTGTCAGACCAGGGAATGTGTTTCTAGTCATCAATAGTCCAATATCGGTTTTGACAGGCCTGGCGAGGCGTAAAGCTTTGTGTAAAGGGTACACAAGGGGGACTTTGACTCCGAATCACCATATCGATAACTTTTCGTAGAATGTTTCTCATGCTGACACTTGTTGATGGCCTAGCTTTGAAATCTGCAGTAATTTGCGAAAGGTCTGCACTTCTGTCACGTGTAATGATTCTCCTCAGTCGTCGTCGGTCTCGTTCTTGCACGATCTTTTTGCGGCCACAGCGATGCCAGAGGTCGATGTTTTACCGGATTCCCGATATTCACGGTACACTCGTGAAATGGTCGAACGGAAAAAAACACATTCCATCGTGACCTCGGAGATGCTATGCCCCATCTCTCTTGTGCTGACTATAACACCACGGTCGAATTCACTTAAATCGTGATAACCTGCCATTGCAGCAGCAGTAATCGATCTAACTTCTCTGGTTGACTTACGTAGTCGTTGCCGACCGGAGCGCCGTATTATGATTGGTTCCAGATCTCTTTCATTCAATACGCATGGCTGTACGAAATGTTTACGAGATTTTTAGCTCTTCAATGTAAATGGAAATAAAATTAAATAATAAACATTTCAGTATAGGGCAAATTTATGAACATAGCAGGGCAAATAATGATCAAAATATTTACCGATCAATATTGTGTTTTTCCATATCGTGCCCAAGCAGGAGAATATTAATAGTCGAAGTTTAAATCAATTAAAGGATTATATAATAGTATATCAACAAAAGTAAGAGATCATTTCTAGTTATTTCAAATATTAGTAGGATAATATTATACATTATATCAGCGGGAATTTCAAAATATTGAAATCATAATTGTAAACACAAGATATGTATATATGTGACTAAAAAATAACAATCCCGTATACCAATATTTTGAAAATATTTCGATTTCTAATAATCGGAGAAGCGTCCGCTTGTGAGTAGCTGTGTTTCTAATTTCCACTGTCGTAGGAAGGTTACAAAATGTTGAGCGTCTTGGCTCCAAGAACTGGCTACAACATCTCTTCAGTACATATTGGGGAACATATTTTTTGCGCGATAGAGTAAAATTGTATGTTAATAATTATCATTTACTGACTTTTCTGAACGTCTTAACGATGGGCGAAGAAAACGAAAGAAAATGAGCAATTATATAAGTTATTATTATTACATGTTTTGTGAAAACAATTAAACAAAAAACAATTTATTTTCAAATTTATCAACGCGTTTTGTAATCAGTAGGATATTATATTTATTATATCAAAAGGTCGCCGGTACATATACCGTTTCTAATCTCGTTAAACTTCATTGGCACCGTTTAAAATTTCAGCAACCCCCAAAGGATCAATAGTATCTTCGTTGGGGACCAGACAGATAGGGAACCATAGTTTACACATTGCTAACATTCAGGATGACGAGGCGAAATCCTTTCGAACAGTTAAGTAGGTTCAAAAACAACGCACCAACGGTTCTCAGTGTAGAAGGAAGGCCACACTGCAGAATTGGAGAGTATGTCGGATGAGATGTGCACCGCAGTTGGCGCTGTTGCTGAAGATTAGATGAGCAAAAACCTGAACTGGGATTCGGAAGTCACTGACTCGTAGATGGCTGCATACTAAAATAGTTGCTTAGTACGAGAGGACAATGCGAATTGCACACGGACCATAAAACAGTATTCCAGAGAACAGAAAGCCGCGGAGACAATGAAAACAGATTTAAGGCAAACATTGTACCGGTTTTTGGATTATGCTATAAAAAACCAACCACACACTCAAACCCGCAACAGTCGGGAGCCCCTATGCAACATGTAATATACATGTGGGTCAATATCGCAATCTACAGATTTAGAACTTTTTGAATCGTCGATTGCGTTTTCGCCCCTTCTGGTCCCAAATTACGTGGTGTGAGAACTCAGAAGATTCAATTATTGATGTTTGGTTAGTTTCACGTATTTTATAAACAATTGTTTATAAGATTTTTTAATAATATGACTAAGGACCTCTCTTGGTTTCTTGCATAGTTTCATTCATTTCATGAACGTTCTGTGGTATGTTCTTTATGTATCGCCTGGATACTGCGAATATTTGAACTACTAAAAAATATGTTTTTTCTAATAGTTTTAAACTATCATTCCCATCAGCCCGCGTTATATATCATTACACCACTGACTTTGCAGGCAGCAGAGATTCACCACGAGAAAGCTAGTATATATTATTTTGCATTAATGTATCATGTATTGTTGATCATTTTCTAAATTGATTGTAATTTTTGACATAATGGTATTCATTTTTAAAGTTGTTTGACTATATGGTTAATACAGTGGCGCATACAAAGTGGAACCCCCAAGGTGGTTCACCCTCCCTTCAGAAGCCGATGATTCACAAAAATATTTTTTACTGATTTTCTACAGTATAAAAAGTGATTTGATGTCTCTAATGAATGCGTGATTAACCATTGATCAATTAATGAAAATAAATTCTAAATTCAGCTTATGTGGAAAATTCTTTATAAGAATGCACTACGTTGTCTGGTCACAACACCAACAGCCTCCTCACAGAAAAAACTTGGTCGCCCCACTCTGTTAATAATCATGTAATTCCACTTGGGCGCAGGATACTTTGTTTCTGGTCAGTAATTTTAAGTTTATTCCTACGCAAACACCACACGCACTATTATGTCTATTTCGGTGTTATAAGCTATAAACAATTGCCATGCCGTGTAAAATAAAATATTGAAACTGTTATTTCAGTAGATGAATTAGTAGTTGTACAGTGGCATTTAAAATAATATTTAGACAAGCAAACACTTTTTCATTACAACAGAAAATTTTTAAATTCCTTATTCGATTTTTGAAAATGCTCTAAGCTTTCGTTCAATTTGCCCCGTTTAGTCCAAGTCTTTTAGTTCAATTTGATAAAGAATAAAAACCGTCTGTTGTAAAGAAAGTGGTTGTTTTTAAATATCTTGAGAATACTACTCTCGTACATTAATTTTAAATAGACAATCACTGATTTGTCGATTATAAGTTAATAGTTGAGTAATGCGGAATGGAGAATTTTTACAAAACTAATCATATAATGAAACGCAAAATTTCTATTAGCTATTACAGAATAGTTCAGCTTATATCATGCGTTTATAATGAAATACATGTAAAAGAGATGAGTGTGATGAAATATTTGAGTAGTGTTAATTTGAAAAATGTTTCAGTTCCTTTCGAGTTGCCTATTCTGATGCGAGAATATTTTAATGGATGGTATTCCTTGAAATCATACTTCTTGGCGGGTGTGGCTGCTGATGCTCCCGTACAGGTAAAATCTTAAAATTGTTAATATAAAGTGAAAAATACTGTATTTATTTAGTCGTTAATAAGCTAGACGTTGATTCGGCTCAAAAGAAATCTAATAAAAATAAATAAATAAAACTTGACAAACATTTTTACTTTCTCAAGTACGACTTAGAAAATAAAAATAAATTATTATAATGCAGCGAATCGGGAAGATTTTTCACAGAAAAACTCGTATTGTATGTCCCTGATTCAGAAAAGAATGGATAATTCTTGTTTTTAAACTTAGTAAATTACATCCTCTAACACGTGTAGTCAGAGTCCATACTTCGTAGGTCCATGAAACCTAAAAATTGTTTTTTGGCAAAAATCAGTCTCTGCGTCCGCCTGTGACTAAACAGTAGGCGGTATATTCTCCAAAATTGATATTCCCCGATCGATCTGTCTGATGTGTCACGACCTCTTCAATTCGAAGCGGATATTTTGATTTTGGGAGGTACGTTACCTAAAGCCTCAATATTGTCAACATTTTTTCAAAAATGGCACGATTTTTTACATTTTTTCTCAGATAAAGTAATGAAAGCTAATAAAAATGGCATATGTCCAATTTGCATTGAGCTTTCAACAATTGGAAAACTTACACTTTTTCGGGATATTACTACAACTACAATAATGAAAATAGAGATATTTTTAATGAAATCTGTTCTTCAAATTGAATCTTTGGTGTAAAACGTGGTGTAAAATTATGTGAAAATGTGAGTAGTTTTCTCCTAATTTCGAGTTACAATTAAAAATAATGTTAGAAAGTATGTGCTATTGTAACACGACTAGTTTATTTCTTTTGTCACTCTACGTTTCATGTCTTCGGTTCCATTTTATACGCTTCCTTTTGGTGGCCGATTCCAATCTTTTAGCGAACGCCCGGATGTGCAGCCGGGCGGCACAGCCGGATTGCTCAGGCGTGCGTTCGCTCGAACTCCCAACATTGTTGGTTAAATGGAAGCGTGTAAATAGGGTGGAAAGAACTCATCGGTCACCTGGAGCAGACATCGGAGAGAAAATCGGAATAGAACGATAAAAGATCAAAGCCCTGAGAAAAACACATAACGAGAACCGCATAAGCGTCGTATTGACTGGTGTAATGTGTTCCTGTAGTGGATGAAAAAGGAACACACATTATATTTTATATACGACTTACCTAAAAAATAGTAATATTTTCAACACACAAAAATTAATCAGCCTAGTTTAGGAACGAATTCATTTAGGACATATAATATTTCGTATTTACAATGTTTGTTGAATAGCTCGAAAGGTGAATTAGTAACATGTGCTCATTTGTATTGTTCAAATTTTCATTAGGTACTATGCACACTAAGTTACATTCTGGTGTCGTATTACCTGACGTCACAACCTCCAGAAATTCACCGACTATTCTTGTTATTTTACGTGGTTCTTCTTGTGGGCCTCATTTCTCAAGTAATAGGAGTATTGACTGGATTAACCATGGGAATGCAGGTAAGTGGGATTTATTTTATTTTTGATTGACTAAACACCGAAACGTGCGAAAACTAATGTGACATTTAGAAGCAGAAATGTTACAATATTTTAATGTTCAAAATCAAAGCATCTCAACATTTGATGAGTAGGAAAGGAATGCAGACCCCGATGAAGATTGTTCCAGAAGCAGATTAGTGTAATAAATGTTACAGACCCATTCGATCTTCGGTAATTCAAACATTCGCTAATGCATTATTCTTAATTTCTTCTTTTTATGGCTCAACAGCACTTACATTTTCGCCTTGGTCTATCCCCGACACTAAACGGAGTTTTTTTCTAGACCCACTAACGCATTGGTTTTATTACATAAATGTTATTTTCGTTTTTGATACTTAGTATTGCGATCGTCAATCCCAGAAAATTAATCTCGGTCGCAAGAACATACGTGAACGTTTTTCATTAAAATTTGAGCTTTGGAAGAAACCTTACTGACACACTTGGTAAGAGCAAACAAAAGAAACCGTAAGTATTACTAACCTATCTATAGGAAATGACGTAAAATTGCAACCACATAAATTGCTGTCTCGTGGAGTTGCAGCCCATGAAAAATTAGTGTAGCTATAACAGTGCATACTTTCTTGCATAATTTCTAACTGCTCCGCTGTATTATAATACCTCATAAACCTGCAAAAGAATTTCAACCAGTAAACAAAAAAAGTCCGCACCGAGACTAGAACTCAGGTATTCAGAATTAACTCACCCTCAGCTACACCACTATGCTACAGAAGTACCGGGCAGACCGAACTCAGGCCGACCCTTAATATAATTATCTCCATCAAAAATGTTTCCAACAGGACATTTTTGCAATTTTCGAAAATATGGAGAGTTCGCCAAACGACGGACTATACTTCGGTTTTTATTTCTCGGTGCATGATGACTTGACTTCATGATGGAATATCTCACGGCATTTCGCATCTTTCTCGGTCATGCCGCTAGAGGTCGCATGATCGCGACCATATCGAGCAGTGCTGGCGATCATGCGATATCTAGCGGCACGCCGAGAAAGACGCGAAGTGCCGTGAGATATTCTATCGTGAAGACTGGCCCTCACGCGCCAAGAAATTAAAAAAAAACTATAGCACCATTTTTTTATTGTCCCTTGATATATTGTGTGGACCACCTAAGTTGGCCACAACATCTTGACAACGGTTTGAGGTATCGATATGCTGTTTGCCCCATGTTGTTGTAGATGATGGGGTAAATAACACATTTCGTTTTTTTGTTTGTAGCGTATGTAATTTTACAAATATTGATCCAATTTTGATTTTTTAAATGGAAGTATATTTTTTCTACATAATTCTAAAGATCTTTAAAAGTGAAATGCAATGATATAAATATTATTAATATTCGATAAGTATTTTTGCAAAAACTGAAATTAGAGCTCTGTTGACGCCATGCTGCAACGCGCAACGACAGCTGACCATGCCGCTGCTTACAAAAGTGCAAAGTGATCGACGGGAAACACACGCAAATAGAGCACACGCAGTCCTTGCGCGCGGCGGCAGGGGTTTAACATGTTCTAATTTCACAGTTTTTGAAAAAAATAGTTTTACGAATATTAATAATATTTATATTATTGCATTTCATTTTTAAAGAACTTTAGAATGATGTAAACAAGCATAAATACTTCCATTAAAAAAAGTTATGTCAATATCTCTAAAATTATATACGTTACCAACAAGAAAATGAAATATGTTATTGGCCCTATCATCAGCAACATGGCGCAAATATCATCTCGGTACCTCAAAAAGTGTTCAAGATATTTGCTGTGGCCAACTTAGGTGGTCCATCCTGTATACCAAAAGAAAATTTAAAGAAAAAAAATTTGAAATTTCATAAATTTCAGATTCCAAGAAACCTAAACCGTTTTTGGTAAAACAACCATAGTACTTTAAATGTAAGATTTTTTCGTGATTATTTCTCAAGCATACCTTATCTCCATCTTCATTGGGTCATAATGATTGTTTTGTGAATGGGGTTATTCTTCATGATCAGTATTTTTGTTCTGGAAGTTTGGTGAGAGTCTATAACCGGTTTTGTGGCATGTACGTCATTTGTGTTGTGAATCTGAGCAAGCAAGGGAGAAAGTAACAGCTAAGAAATGGATTCTACGTCAGATGTACAAAGAACAGAGTGGAAGTCCGTAACCAAAGAAAGAGATGAAAGAGGATGTATGGAGAGCAACGCTTATAAAGGAGAAGCACATTTTAATCAAAAGAATCTTCAGATATTATCTAAATATTTACAATCACATTCTAACAGAGATTTGTATCTAACTTTGTCATCAGAGGCAGATGGCAATGTGGAAAACGAAGTCTCTGATAATGATAACACCAGTGGCGGAGAACAATAATTTCCTTTAAATGTAGCCTGTGAGGGCCCCCGCGCGACTCACGGACGCTCTCTCGGACGGCCGCAATTTGCGAGTTGGCACTACCGCGCTAGTGTACACGCCACGCCGGCTATCAGTGGGACGTAATTTGACATTTCCCCTGAGGCCGACCCTTAGAAACACTGGGACCATATGCTCTGGATGTTTATCAAATGATTGGGGTGGGGGTGATGAGTGTTATCAGAATAAGTAACATAGACCGTCCAAAAGAGAAACATGGGAACAGGTTTAGACCATTTCGATGTATCAAGCGAAACACCGTGTCCTGGCAGAATTAACTGGAAATGCTACGGGTAGCTTCGGAAACGAAGAGCACTTGATCCCTGTCAGTCCACGGATGGGAAGGAATGATATAGGTACCTGGGATGCGAACAGACAGAAAGACACGTTTTGCCATCAATCGATTTTCGTAGCCTCAACAGTATTTTCAAATTTTTCTCAAAAATTCTTATTCATTTTTGTCTTCGGATAGCAAAACAAACGCTTAAGAGAATGGTGCAGTTCTCATTTTCTTTGAAATCTCTGATTCTTCGAAAAAAGTTCAATTCTTTAGGAGAATTTCTATAACTACATTATTGACCAGAGATATTTCTACTTAATGAAATCTGTTCTTACAATAAAGATTTTGAAATAAGGCCATGTACAATTTTTCAAAATATGAGTCGCTTTCGCGTAAAACATCATGAAATATAGGAAATTTTTAAAAAACTTTTTGAAACCTTTTTTTCTCAAAAACCGCTCCAATTTTTTCTTTAAATTTTCTCCTCGAATGTATCGAAGGACTGTAAAAAATGGTGCTGGTCATTTCCGGCAAAAACTGTATTTTGAAAAAAATGGCAAAACTTCAACATTTAAAAAATTACGAAATTGATAGAGATTTTTGCTCTTTAAAAATAGTCAAGCACAATTTTTTGAAATGGGGAGCAGTTTTTGCATAATTTGTACTTGAAATTTATTCAATTCATAAAAAAGCATATTCTCAAAAACAGCTTAAAATTTTCTTCTCGTATGTCAAAGGACTGTAACAAAGATGGCGTTAGTCCTATTTTCGGCGAACGCTCCGTATTTTCGAAAATTGTAAAAAGTTAACATTTCAAAAGTACAAAATAGGAAAAAGAGATTTTTCCCTGAAACAAAATCTGTTCTAAAACATCAGCACTTTAAAAAAGGCTGTATACAATTTTTTAACGATTAGTTGCCAGATGATTTATGATCGAATTATAAAAAGAAATTTAAAAGAACACATAAAAAGCAAATTATAAAAAGAACATTTTCTCAGAAACAGCTCCAAATATTTTTTTTTACATTTTTTCTTCGCATAAAACAAGGGTTGCGTGAAATGACTGTGGTCTCGTTTTCGTTTCTCTGATTTCTCGAACATGCGTATTGGAATATTGGGTTGAGACAATTCGATTTCCTATCGACGGCCTGAGTTGCCGCGTCAGAGCGGCTGCTTGGTGGAGAGGAAAGGCGCACATCGATTTAACTCGGAGGACCGGAGTTTGAGTCTCGAAGCGGATTTTTTTGCCGGCACTTTTGCAGGTTAATGTAGTAGTTTAATATTGCGAAGTTACAAATAATGCGATAAAGTGTGTGCTGTTGTAGCACCCCTAGTTTTCCAAAAAAGGTTCGTTTTAATGTCTATTCAGTCCCCTTGTATACCTATTAGGGTAGGAATTGCGAAATTGAAGAAAAAGCTCACAGAATACACTTCTACTTATATCATGAAATACAGTTTTTAACTGTTTTGACGTCAAACAAACAAACAAACTTTTTGTAGGTGATTACTAGATACAACGTGAGGAATAATCAGCTTCGTAAACTCACCTGTTAAAAAGCTCAGATAGCTCGGGTGTTGAGGTGTATTAATTTGTGTGTATTTAATACCATGGTTTGTGGCCATAGGCTTAGAGTAGTGGGGGAGGTTGGGGCGGCCCGCTCCGAATGGTACTTTAAGGGTGTGGCAACATTTCTTAATAATAATAATAATAATAATAATAATAATAATAATAATAATAATAATAATAATAATAAATAATAAATTAACTCCACCTCGGGAGTACATAACCTTGACGTTGTGGTGGAGCTTGAGTACGCCTGTGAGCCTGAGAGCTTTGCCGGCAGTAGCGTAGCTACTGGTAAGGGCCTTCCTTGTCGGACACGTCCATGGGGAGGGGTCAGACGAAGAAGTACTTCAGAAGAGGATCTCAACAACGGTAGAAGAGGACCTACAGAAGGGGCAGTCCACAGAAGACATGAAGCTGGCCTCAATGTGACTCTTCTCTTCGAGGGTTGATAAGGAGAGCCCATGCCCGGGTTAAAAGGGGCAGTCTTCAACAGCCAAAGTTGGGCGGAAGAAGCAGCCCTTCATGTGTGGTTAATACACATGATGGCAGTTGTAAAGGACATGCGTTAGCAGTCCACACCCATGTCGAAATGGAGAGATTATTGGAAATTTGCCTCCGGCCAGAGCCGCTGTCTGGGGAGCGGCAGGGCACAAATGGAATTAGCGCTGTCTGTGACAGATGCGAACCGCTAGTGGTATGATGCTGAACAGGCAGGCTCACATCGGAATACCCGAAATTACTACAAATGACGACTTCAAAAATCACTCACGATACCCTACACAAAGTTATACAGAGACTGTTCAATTGGAAATGCCCGGGATTAGATAGTTTAAATAGCTATTGGTACAAAAATTCACCAGTCTCCACGGGAAGATCCTAAATGACATCAACAACTACCTGAATTATCCAGAAGAAATGCCGCACTATCTATGCGAAGGTGTCACATTTATAAAACCCAAAACCAATGATACAGTAGATCCTGCAAAATACCGACCTATCAATGTCTTAACTCTTTCTATAAAATCATCACAAGATGTTTATCAATGATTATCGAACACTGCACAGCGAATTCTAAGCTGGTTGAAACTCAAAGAGGAGGCGGCAAAGGTTCCCCTCGGATGTAAAGAACATGTCTCAAGCATGTGAGAAGAGACGCAACTTGTTCACTTGTTTTATTGACTACAAGAAGGCCTAAGACATGGTGCTGCATGATTGGCTGCTCTACATATTGTCAATGTACAGTATTAACCCAACGATAGTTTCACCATGGGCAAATGGAAGACCACAATCGTATCATGACAAAAATTAACAATAGTCACCAATAAAATAAATATAAGGAGTGGCAGTTTTCATGGTGACATTCTGAACCCGTACTGGGTTGGGTCATAAACACACTCTCTACACTTCTGACTTACAAACAGGATTCGAACTGAAAGGCACCGAGAAGATCAGTTTAACGCACTTAGCCTATATAGATGACATTAAACTCTACTCAGGTACGATGCGTGGCCTAGATATGTAAATAAAAACCATTGAAGAATTTTGCAGAGATATTGATGTGCAGTTGGGGATTTATAAGTGCAGTAGTCAAGAAGGGTAAATTCGCCAGGGAAGCTAGATATGAGACTACGTGGAGAGATAAAATCCGCTCTGGAAGCCAATGAATTATACAAATATCTTGGTATACAACAGGGATGTATGATAATGCATCACAAGCTGAAGGGAATGCTAAAAACTGAGCTCACGAGCCGACTCAAGGCAGTTTTAAGAACGTCCCTTAATTCACGGTTGCCATCAACACATATGCATTTGTGACATTTTCGATGGGTATTCTCAAATGGTCCTCAAGAGACCTAGAGGAAATGGAAAGACAGGTGCGAGTCCAAGTGACACATTTTGGTTGCCACCACCCAAGAAGAATGGAGTTGTAGAAATGGAGAGGGGGGAAGAGGGAAAAATGAATGAATCCATTATTGCATGCATCCATTTTGTGAACAATAATTGTTATTTCAATATGGAAATTATATTGTCATGCTCATTTGTGAAAATATTTAAGTCAATTTTACTGTCAATAATTAACAGTAAAACAATTATTGTTGACAAAAATAATTAAATATTTTAATTAACTTTTCATTATGAACACATTAACACTTGAAAGTTAACAATAATGGTAAGTTATTCTGCCTTCAACCCATACAAGCTTTAACTTGTGAACTTCCGTCTTAATTGACAGGGTAAAAAACAGAACAGTATAAGTGACATTTTATTATTTTGGATAAATCTGTTTATTTAAGTTAATATTACTGTAAAGTCATGGTGCTTTGTTTCATCATTAAAACCACAGCATTTCAATTGTTCATTAAAACCACAAAAATGTATTGCCAATGAAATATAGCCTAATATAAACACATTTTTCTCGGAATTTAATAACTGTCACTTATACCAATATGATTTACACTCATTCAATTGTAAATTGTTTATTTTATCAATTAAAACCACATTTCTTCATTGTCAAATAATTAATAACTTTTTTTTTTCAGAATGGAATGGTGTTTGGTCCATTGGCTATATTGCCATTCCTTATTTTCTCTGGATTTTTTGTGTCAATGAAAGACGCACCAAAATATTTTGAATGGCTTTTCCACATGAGTTACTTGAAATATGGATTAGAAGCTGTTATGCAGGCAATGTACAGCTATGATAGAGAGAAACTACCTTGCTCAACAGACTATTGTCATTTCAAATTGCCAATGAAATTCTTGGAGGAACTACATATGGTTGATGCAAAGTACTGGGTGGATATTATATTTCTCACTTTACTGTATATTGTTCTTTTGGCAGTTACTTATACAGTACTTAAGGTGAAATTAAGACGAAGATGATATTAAATATCGTATTGTTTCGAGGTGAAATATCTCAGCGCTGTACCAACGTGATAATTATATTTTTAATCTTCGTTAAAATCTATGAAGAGACCAAGTCAATGAGAGTGTGGTTTTATAAAATTATAATTAAGAGAAAATGGTTATTATTCAAAACTATGTCTGATAGCTGTTTAAACATGATTATGCTAGTCTAATGTTTTCACATAAATGATGTGATGTACAGCGAGAGGGGGATAGGCCTCCTCAATCATAGATCTCACTTATTTCAGTACTATTTAAAATTAATGAGATGCATATACCAAGAGGAAAGCATAAGAATGATAAATATGAAATTTATCTCACTGAATAGTTAGCTGAAAAATTTTTTAAAGAAAACGTGTATATGATAATGGGAAAATAAAGAATTATAGTAGATTTGTGAAAGGGCAGTACTAAAATTATTTAGAAAGGTAAATAAAATTGTTCAGCATATTTTATAGTCATCAAAACTTAACTGGTCACCAAAATACTCATGAATGTAGCAAGCCAAAAGCATATCACTTCATGTAAATGGCATAAGTTTTAGAATTGGGCATTCTGGATGTAATTATCTTACCCTGAACGCAATTATGCTGAAAGTCACACTTGTCTTATTTGTTCAAGATTTAATTCATAATGTATATTTACATTATAATTGTTTATAATGTTATTTATGTAATCAATTAAAATTATATAATTTTCTTATAAATTCATAAAAGTATTGAGTTTATTTTTTATATTGATAAATTACATGTACAACTAATTTTATAAATTTATATCTGAAAAATCCCCAAAGATAAATAGTAGTGCTACAACAGGTTATATTTTCTTGTATTATTATATGGGTAATAACTAAAATACTGCAACTTCTGTCCAACTAACATTTCAGCCATCACTATAGTGATGGCTGAAAAAAAAGAACTGTTGGAGTATACCAGATCCATGACACTGTAACAAGTTTCCTTTAAATTATTGCTTTTAAATTCCTCCTATTAAAATTGATGAAATTAGCTCAAAAAATTGCATTAAAGTTGTGGAAAAGGGTAAAAAATGACTTATTAGTCAAAATCGATGAAAAATGAAAAAAGGACAAAAATTGGTTATTTCCTTTTGTCATAACATAACATTAATTCTGACACTAAATGGCATTTTTCTAAAGTGAAAAGAAAAATCTGACATTTCATTAAAATCCGCCCCCTACTCATTACACTCAAATTAACTCTCAAAAAGGAAATTATTTCCCGCTTACTGTAGACTATAGATATAAATAAAACTATAAATACATTCGATCTTGCCAAAACTCGAGGATTGCACTTTAATTAAAAGACTTTATTAATGTAGATTTTAAAATATGTATTGTGCAGTTAAGTACAAACATTTGTGATAATAATAAATAATAAACACTTTTGATGTATGATTCACTGAGAAAATATATTATTGAATTGACAGTTCGGACCTTTCCAATAACAATGAGGATCATCACCTCTGATCAACTAATCTAATTAATAACATTCAATAACAATCAATTAAATAATGAACAAATTTGAAAACAGTGTATATAATTGCAGCACAATTAACTTAAAGCATTAGGTAATATAAACGAATATTTTCCTGTTTATAATAACGCTCGAATTTGCTTCACCCCCTCCCCCCCAGCCAATTCAATAAAAGATCCAAAATCCCGGGTCTATAATATTGCAACTTCTATCCAACTAAAACTTCAGCCATCACTTGAAAAACGCCTCACTAAACAAAATGTAAGAGGTTCGAAAAAATTCAGAGTAGTATCTTTTAAGTTTTTGAAAATTCAAAAGTTTCAAAGGAAAGTGCTTCGTGGAATAGAAGCATTCTCTTTCAGTGTATAGGGCTCCTTTTTTACCAAATATTTACAGAAAATGAGATATTTGTTCGGCTGGGAATTAAAATCGAGGGAGTTTGTTTGCGAAGCATAACTCTTCCCCTTGTTCTCTACATCTCCTGCGTTTATAACAGAAGAATTAATTCTTAATATTGCTGTTTTTGTTTTTTTTACACAAGATGCAAAATTGTCATGATAGAACTCAAATTAAGCGTAAACTACTGATATTTTGAAACCAGTGGATATGACATGATTTAAAAATCTAATTTTATGGAGTAGACTGTTCGAAAACATCTCTAATTTCAATACTGAAGACATATGACAAGCTCTGAAAATCTTTGTAATATTTATTTTTAGTAAACTGAATCTGTGGAACAAATCTGTTTATTCTGAGCGCTTGTCTTTTTACTCAGCATTGACGCGCCGTGAAGCGGTCGGTGAACGATGGAAAGCCTCGCCTGGGCAAGTCAAAGTACAGAATGCCACGTAATTAAAAATCCATTAAAATATATTTCAAAGTAACTGTGCAAATGAGAGAAAGTGGGAAAGGACTACTGACTGTTATCTAGCTACAAAATCGTTGGTCGATAGTGTACGCGCTTGAAGCGAATCCCACTGTATGCATTATTCACTGCAATTCGGATAACACCAAACTGAATGGGTGTCTTCAATAAACAATTGAATAAATAATATATTATTCACATATTATATGATTAATTGTCGTCGCTCCCTCAACTATTCATAATTAATAAAACTCTTATTTATTATCAGAGGATGACGCTGTTGATCGTGAATGAGCACTGCAACGTTTGCGATTATAGCAGTCTGACAAATTACTATAAAATCGCAAAACCAGAGTAGCAGTGTTCGGCTAAAATGTAAAATGAAATGCGAAAACTACTCATGCTACAACAGAACAAACTTTCACAATGGTCTCGAAATATTATAAAAACTGCATTTACCATCACTTGAAAAACGCAAATGGTGCAACTCGGAATTACGCGAAAACTACTCTCATATTGAAAAAGCAATAGAAGAAATTATTTAAAGATCATTTATAAAAGAATATATTGTATCAAAAACAAAATCTCTATCTTCAACAGTAGTTATAGATCAGATTCGAAGAAAAGAAAAAAGAACGTGTTGAAAATATTTGCTGTTTTAAGGAAAATCTGACCTGTGCCATACTCAAAAGCGAACTTGACTGTATTTCTGACGTCCACAGGTGTTTTTCACGCGCCTGAAGAAGAAAATAAATTACAGTAGTGAAATTATTCGGTTTAAAAAAGCATAATAATAGAAGTTTTATTTTGAAATATTAGCAAGGATTGAAAATAAATGTGGTGATAATATTACTGTGGACTGATGAAATTAACTATTGATGCAACCGATTAGAACAGCTTTTCCAAAACGTGATGGAAAGGAGGTTCGGAGGGGAAGTAAAGTCGGCTGTCCCATGTTAGTAGACTTACTGCATGTAAAAGATCCTCAAGCCTAAATGAAGCCTTTGAGCTAAATTCAAATCGTCTATTTCGTAGCCCAAGAAATACCTTCTTTCTCCGTTAGTGGGTGAAAGGGGCGTAGCGAAAGAGCGGGCCTATGGCCTGAGTCTCGCCACGTATAATAAGGCATCAATTCAATTAATAATAATAATAATAATAATAATAATAATAATAATAATAATAATAATAATAATAATAGGTTTGAAAATAATGGTATTTATTGGAATGCAGTTTGTAGTTGTGCTCATTTTATAACTACTAACAAGAATGCATTAGAACGGGAAACGGAATAAGGGGATTTGCATGTAATTGACGTGTGATTTCCGTTCCGTACTGTACTCTGAAGAACGTTGCCAAAAACGCAGAAAGTAAATTGAGAGACAAGTCGCGATCTTTAACTGCAACCACAGAAACAATAAACAGTTCAGAGAGTTTGTTAAGAATTTTGCAAGTGTGAACTATGCACGATACTGAAATGAATTTAACTGTGCCAAATGCAATGATTCGTGCTGCTGAAGTAGAATGAGCGGTCGGGTCAAAATTTCCGGTATTGCTGTGCAACTACCACCACCCGAAACCATCGGCATCAAATGCGCGATGTGTGAAAGACCCTTCTGAGGTAACTCGTCCGAGAAAGAACGGGAAGAGAAAGAAAGGGGGAAAAGGGTTTATAGTAAGTGGTAATGCAAGGACTTGTAACTAGATTTTAAAAATGGCTATTTTTTGTATTATATGCCAGAATGTCTTTTTTCTTCGTAGTAATTGTAACGAAAATGAAATGAAATTTATGTTACCCTTTTTGTCTTGTATTACCATTATTCTATTTAAATTCCAATAACCTTCCTTCATGGATCCTGTATTTGACATGGTTTTCAGACACAACAATTTAAATACATGTTTACAACAATTTTAAATACTGTATATGAAACACCTTTATTCACTATAAATACTCTAAGATAGTACTTTTGTTGTAAATCTTGAGTCTCAATTAAATTGTTAATAACAAATTGTTGTATCGTAAATTTGAGTAAAGAATTTAAAGAAAACAATGTGCATATTTTGGGAAAATCTTGTAATGTTATGGTTTCACTCAATAGTAAGGGAAAACAACTTACAATTTGGAAAGATTGTAGACAATGTTATTTAAAAATCAAATTTTGAAGAACAGATTTTGTTAAGAAAAAATATCCCTATTTTCAATAGAGAAGATGCAGAAGGGGTCACAAAACACTTAACTTTTTCAAATTTCCAAGATTATAATGAAAATTGGGGTCTATGGTATTTTTATAGATTTATACTCTACTGAAGAAAAAATCAAATGTGGAGTTATTTTTGGAAAATATTTGTAAATGTCTTAGGGGGTTTATGTAAAGAAGTTACAAAAATTAAAACATTTGTTTCAAATTCAAGAGACCATGACATCAGCCATATCGATTGAGGAATATTTGTTGAGAATTTTGGGAACGGCGGATATGGGGTGGATCACTGTGGCAGAATGTGTGAGGAGAGTGGACATGACCGACAAGGAAGGCGTGTAAGGATTACGCCCTCGCACCTAGCACGACAAGATGAAGAAGACCCAACTTTAATCGAGTACTTTATACTTGAGAGTTCAAAATTTGAGCATTCAGCAGTAGCACACTAATGGGGTTATCGGTCAGTGGTATCTTTTAAATGAAACAAAACCGTCCTGTATCCTTAGCATATAACACAGACATCAGGGATAATATGTTAAACATATCAATTAATGCAATGTGATTTTAAACTCACTAAAATTCTCCTCTAACTATCAGTAACAAATTAATCTATATGTCTGATTATACTATTATTGCTAAATTTTAAATAGCCCTGATTTACCCAATTTGTAGCAAGAAACTTGCTGAGAAGTACATTAATATCCATTAATGTGCAATACTCTTAGCAATGAATAGAACAATTAAAGAATGATCTTTATTTTTTAAAAATAACAATGTACAACATTACAAAATTTATATATGTAAACAATTGTTTCAATATATTTTTTCATAATTTAACACATCAGTTTATACATTGAAATCAATGAATCAATGTTTTATTTCTTTGCTGCAAGACCAATTAATATTTTTTTGTAGGCATACAGGATTTGCAAAATTATCAGCATCAAAAGAAAAAAAACTAATTTAATAAATTCCCCCATTTCTTTAAATATATTTGCTGGATTAAATTTGAATAATGTTTATTTTTCCAATACTGCGTATGCCTAATTTTACACACATTCATAAATTAATTATGTCACAATGTACAGCATTTATTTACGTCGAAATAAGTATGGCATCATATCAACTGCAGTATTTCTTATGCCAGAGAAGTCCATAACATTGATGGACTGATCTAGAGCCACAAACAGGTGACAGGCATCAAAGGCAAGGCTGTATACTGGACTACTGTGGTTTGCAGACATGAAGTACATCTGAAACAGGTAAATACATATTTAACATGTGAACAAATGCATATTTATAAACAAATTGAACTAGTGGTTCTAAAATAGCATGTACTTTCTCGCCTTTAGTAATAGTTATGTAATACTATTCATACCACAATTTCTCTCTAAATTAACACATCATTTTTTAGAATCCTCATTACCAGGATTGGGCAAAATACTTTAAATTTGGTATTTAAATACTTTGCCGTAGTACTTCATAACTAAATATTTAAACACAAACACAAAATACATTAGGACTTTATGTCTTAAATACATACATATTTAAAATAGTTCAAATTCTCAAAATACTGTAAATATATAATAATTTTATATTGTATTTTTTGTTGCAATATATTATAATTGTCAATTACAATAAAGTGATATCAAAAATATGTCTAACACAAAGACATGAAAATTCCTTTTAAAACATTCATTCAACTGGCATAGATTAACATAAACAAGGGTTATAACTAAGCTGCGGATTTATACGCATGAAAAACTAGGCAAAAAAGGCTTTTAAAAGTGTAAAATAAGCATTTAAAAAGGCACTATATATTTTTCTTATCCGTAATTATGTTCTTGTATAGAAAGTTTCTGAAGTAAACATAATACAGTTACCTTCATGGGATATTTGCTTTCATCATTGTTCTGGGAAATCCTTGTAGAAATCTTTCGTTGTGGGGCAATTTGAACAAAAAGACTGAATCGCAGTAGCTAACTTTTTGCTTTTCATTAAATGCAAGTTGATGCTATAATGCTGCACAGTATGATCATTTTTCTCACATTTATTTTAATCATAAGTGAATATGATGCATAACATAAATGTTGTAACTAGTAGTGTTACTTCAGCAAATATTTTCTCATATTATATCTAAAATTATATTTCAAAATTTGCAACTTTCAAAAATTCAGAGGTCAACGAAAATGAGAATTGAGCCATTTGTTAAAGGCTTAATCCCTTGCTCTATCCGTAGAAAAAAATTGAAGTAAACAATTGTAGTGGTTTTTGAGAATTTTTAAAAATAATTTGCATGAATTGTAGGTAAAAATTCCATAAAACCACCCGTAAAAAAAACAAACATTGTAATGTAACCATCTGATATTATAGAACATATTTCATTTAAGACAAAAATCTCTGTATTCAATATTGTAGTTTTGCAATGTCAACTTTTTGCAATTTTTGAATACAGTATTTGTGAAAAAGAATCCTGCAAAAATGTTCGTAACATCCTTTAATAATAGGAGAAGTAAATTTTAAGAAATCACTTTTTGAATAAAGAATTGTTTAAAAATTCAAAGTTAAAAATAACCATCAGTACATGTTTCATAATATGAAATACTTGCACTAAGGTGGCAGTAAAACAGAAGACTGATTTATCGACAGTTGCGGGAATCCTCTGTAATCAGTAAGATAAAAACAAAAAAATATACAATTTTTTAAATTTTTATTAAGGAAAATTGTATTTTGATCAATAAATATGAGAATAAGCAACATTCAAACATTTAAACACAAAATTGGTATTTATTGGTGAAATAGGCATTTATAGGCACTATAAAATTCATATATTCCTATTGCCTCAAAATGAATAAGCTACCAAAATATTACAATTTCCACAGAAGGAAAAAATAGACAAATAGGCAAAAAGCCACAGTTTAGTTATAAGGAATAAATGCATTTTTTATTGTCAGATAACACTAGTCGGCATGATTCTGGGGTTTTCTTCAATGTTTTCTTTATAAAGTACATTATCCCAATTCTGAAAATATAAACGGTTTTTCTCTATCACATACTATTTTTTCACAATTACTACATTTATAATCAATGTATTGGTCATATGTAGTATGTTCCCTCTGTTGAAAGCAAGCAAATATTAAGAAATTCGTTGTTAAAGTTGTTATGTTTGGCAATACTGTAGCACGCAAGGATTCTTCTTTAATTTACATCGATTCATATTGAATATACTATCAGTTTTCAGTAACTGAGCAGTTATATTTCTGAGTGGACACTTTATTTTCTCGATGTATCTTTTAAAATAATATGCCTTCCGGAAAATGTAAAAATCCTAACATATTTTTTCACATTTGTGGGAGTTTTGTTGCAAGAAAAAGAAGATGGAACATCACAAGCTTTGTTGAAAAGTCATATAATGCCTTTTTTGGTATGAAACCAGATCTGGACAAAAATTGGACTCCAAAAAAAAAAGTGTGATAAAGTCGTGTTGAACAATTAAGGAAATGGAGGGAAGAAAATTAGCATGCCTTTTGCTGTTCCAATGATTTGGCATACGCCTCAAAATAATGTAGATGATTGTTATTTTAGTCTATGTGACACTGCAAGTTACAATTTAAAAAATCTGAAAAATATTGTTTATTCAAATCTCTTGTCAGCAAAAAGGCCCGTTGCTTATCAACCAGGTTTTCCTGTGCCTTCTCCATCAGAAACATTTGGAAACGAATCATCCTCAGACCCTGAAACAAACTCTGAAGACAATTGCAGTGATTCAGATTCAGTTCAAGAAGAGGATGACAAGCAGTCTTAACAGTTCTCCCAAATTGAACTTCATATTTTGGTAAGTGACTTAGGTCTTTCTAAGACTGCTACTCAAATCCTGGGATCAAGACTAAAAGAAAAGTACCTCCTAGCTCCAGGAACATCATTTGCATGATATAGACACTGTGAAGAGGAATTTGTCCCATACTTCTGTCAAGAAGAGAATCTTATATACTGACATGATATTCCTGGTTTAGTGGATTCTTTGGGAGCTGAAAAAAAGTGGCAGGTGATCGGTGATCTTAAAGTTATTGGCATGCTTTTTGGTCAACAGTCCTCAGTTCAACACGAAGATGCTATGTTTCTTATGTGAAATGGGACAGCAGAGCACCATCTGAGCACTGTACTAAAAAAGATTGTAAACTTGCTACAAATTGTAAGATTATAATAAAAAAGATTGTAAAAGAGAGAATCTTATTCCAGGAACCAAAAATATACTGTATGACAGTCTTGTGAACCCCAAAAATGTTCTTCTTCCTCCTTTACAAATAAAATTGGGAAAATCTGATGCAAATATTACAAAGGGACTATTTGTTGGACCACAGATAAGGAAGTTGGAAAAAGATACCATATTTGAAGACACAATGACACAGACCAAAAAACAAACATGGATGGCTTTCAAGGAAGTTATTAAAAACTTCCTAGGAAATCACAAGGATCCAAATTATAAAAATATTGTAAACAATATGCTTGAAAAGTTTAGACAGCAGCAAGGATGTAATATAGTGTTAAGGTACATTTCCTACACCCAATGTTTTTCCAAAAACTCTTGGTTGTGTCAGTGAGAAGCAGGTTGAAAAATTTCACTACGACATCAAGCAGATGGAACAACGTTATCAGGGAATGTGGAATGTATGTTAGCAAATTATTGCTGGTCACTGGCAAGAGAGGAAAATCAGCTTTTCACCTAAGGAAATATAAAAAGCATTTAAAAAAAAAATGAATTAGAATTATTAAAGTTCAAATAAAAGAGATTACATGATCAGAGTGCTCAAAAATTGTTTCTATTTAATATTATTGATTTATTGTATTTTACAAATTAAATGTATTTGAGTCAAAAATAAAGGACTATTTTTATTATTTCTTATATTGTATAAAACTGACATGTGATAGAGCAAAATGGATTTCAAATTTATATTCAACATGGTCATGTTAAAGTTATTCACCTATTAAAATAAAAACCTCAGCCAAAAAGTTAAAATTTGCACACCAGTGTAATTGTCCAGCACTTTTAATGATTTAGATTTATCATTTAAAAATGAAGAGATTCCAAGTTTAACTGCTGAAAAGAGCTTTTACTTTTGTTTTAATGAGGTGCATTCACTAGCAGAACCTAACAAAAAGAAACTATCCTCATTCTAAACTATCTTTTTCTTCTACATTTAAAGTATTTTAAGTTCTTCTTTTTTTAATTACACCTACTTTATGTCTCACATATATCTCTTAAATACAAGGCCCCAAAACTTTCAATGCAACAAAATGTATTTCAAATACAAGTATTTAAATATTGCCCAACACTTGCTTGTTACAAATCATACAACATTTAGTTCAAAAACTAAATATTTTCAAGTAAATATCAGCACAAATTTGACAGTTATAAGTGCTTTATATACATGTAAATCATGCCCCAACAATAAGACTTTTAGATTACAAAAAAGAATTGTATGATTAATAAGTAAATCCCACCCACGTTATTCTTGTAAGCCTCTCTTTATCAATCTAGGTATCTTACCACTACCTTGTCTCTTGATATATGAATCCATGGTTTTTGTCAAAAATGACTTACTTAAGGGTGGGAATATATTTTCAGCAAACGCTCATGTCTATAACTACAACACTTGACATTGTAATCATATTCATCAGACGACAGTATCAACAGCTCACTACAAAAAATTCATGTACAATACATGTACATTATTTTACAATGCCTTGCCAGATGACATTAGACGATTAAATTCGATACAAAAGTTTAAGTCCCAAGTAAAATCTTTTCTGCTGCACAGCTGTTTCTCTACAATTAGAGATTATAACGAGCATCCAAACGGAAAGTAATATTAATTTTAACAATGA